GCCAGTAGGGCCAAGGGTCCCAGGGTAGAACTGAAACTCGGGGCTCTTTCTGCAAAGCCCTGATTCAGCCGTGGGCTCTCTTCTAAAACAATCTCTCAAAAAAATGAATGAATGAATGAATGAATGAATGAATGAATAAAACAGTCTCTCTTCCTTCACTGGCCCTTTTAAATTTTTAGGCACAGTAAGGAAGATTTCTCCATATGAGGCCATTCTGAACTTCAAGTGCAGACACAGGCAATCGTCCTGAGGAAGGAACCTTCTGCCAAACCCAAGATTTCTGTGAATCACGTTTAACAGGGAGAGTGCCCCTGAGTCAGGGAGGAGGCAGGGCTGGGGCGGTTGCCTGACAGGGAAGGATGTAGGGGGAATAAGGCGAGCAAGGATCTTACTCTGGGAGAGGCAGAAGTCAAATGCAAGCAGGCCAAAGTCAACAGAGGTGGGCAGGGCGGGCAAGGGCTTGTTTAGAGGAAGTCATTTCAGGCAGGCACCGGGAACTTGGCTGGGGAGACTAGGTGGGGGAGCGAGCTGCATTCATTCATTCATTTAACTTTTATTGCCCTCGAGAGCGGGCCAGTTATCCGGCTGTAGTGACTCACACATGTGAATGCAAAGAAATGCTTGGCCGAAGTCAAAAACACTTGGCGTTCAGTAAATGTCAACCATTGCTTTCAGGGTTGGAAGTCCCTGGTCACTCCTTGTCCCGCAACCCAACTGTACGGACTGACTTCTGGGTGGCCGTAAAGGACAGATGCCCATCTGCACTATTAAACAAAAGGAGGCCATGTTGGCTCCTAAAACTGTGGGAAGAGATGGCGTGTAGCGGGGCCTCAGGGGCAACTGCACCAGCCCAGACTCTTTTCTGGCCATCTCTCATCTCAGCTCCCATCCGTTCTTCTGAGTGCCCATTTGCCCCAGTGGTCTCCTCCATAATGAACGGAAACCAGGGCAGCAGCCCGGCCCAAGCCCAAATTCTCAGTCTCGTAGAGGAACTGAAGTTCCTGTGTAGAGAACTGTGATTGGCTCAGTGTGGGTAAGGTGCCTGGCTCTGATTGGCCCAAGGAGTTAGGTGCTCAACTCTGATTGGCCCAGTATGGGTCAGATACTCATCTTTTGACCAATAAAAAGGTCATGTGAGACAATATGGCAGCTCTCATTTGAAATGTTTGTTGGGAGGGTTGTTGCAGGAGGTGTGGTGACATTCATTCCTCTCCATCTGTTGGACATGAATGCCTGTGATCTTGAGAACCATGATGATGATTAGTGAATCAGATGATTAACTGAACCCCTCCTGAGGCGTCCATTTAAATAATGCACTGACAGAAAATTCTGTGGGGAAAATACATGAGGAAATAATGACCAATTTCCAAATTTGACTACAGTAGGAACCAAATCCTGCATAATCACGTTAAAAAAAAAAAAAAAAAGGAGTGACTTAGGTAAGGAACAGTCTCAGGTGATGAGACAAATGGAAACATAGTGACTCGCACAAGATGGCTGCTTGCTTCTCTCATCTAACAGACCAAGGATGGGCTGGAGTCTTGGGCATATGGACTGTTCTGCTCTGCTGTGGTCTACGAGGCTGTTCAGTTCAGATTCCTTCTCTCTTGATGTCCTGCCATCCCTAGAGTGGTGTCCACAGCCATGTGTTCAAAACCAGTACACGTCATCACATCCATGTTCCAGCCCCCAGAAAAGGGAAAGATGAGGTGGGGAGCAAACAATGGCCCCATAAAGATGTCATCTGGAAGTTGCACCCACCACTTCCGCTTGTATCTTAATTGATTAAAACGACAAGACTCTAGGAAACCTTCCAGTGAGGCTGGGAAATGTGGTCTCTTGGCTGGGTAGTCACATGTCCCACTCAACTCCAGTGGCTTCTGTTGGGACAGTGAACCCTGGGAACAATTCGTCTTTGCCACAGGACTACCTGTGGCCTGTCAGTATCTGTGTACATCCTTCTTTCCACATGTAGGACCCACTTACCACCTTCTTAAGAGAGGCGACCCAGGGGCACCTGGGTGGCTCAGTGGGTTAAGCCTCTGCCTTTGGCTCAGGTCATGATCTCAGGGTCCTGGGATCGAGCCCCACATCGGGCTCTCTGCTCACAGGGAGACTGCTTCCCCCTCTCTCTCTCTGCCTGCCTCTTTGCCTACTTGTGATTTCTCTCTCTGTCAAATAAGTAAATAAAATCTTTAAAAAAAAAAAAAAAAGAGAGAGAGAGAGAGAGAGAGGCGCGACCCAAAGTCCCCACCCAGTTACGGCATCCAGCTCCAAGAGTGGAATCCCAGGGCTGTTCAGTCTCCTTCCTGAGATGTGGATGTCGTCCTGTTGGCCTAGTGGCCCAAAATCTAAAAGTAATCACCCACACGCCAGTTCCCACTCACTCCCACAATATTCAGTGCAGAGAAGAAGCAGGAAAGAGTAGGAAAGAATAACCACTATCAAATCTTCTGATCAGAAAAGGGAAGAAAAGGGAGCACACAGTGACCACCAGTCCATGCAGTTATCAGTTCTACTGGGCAAGAAGTGTGAAGGCTCCCTGCCCTGGTACACACTCTCTTACCTTTCTGCCCTGAGGGTAACTGTCCACTCTCTATGGTGACCCCAGGCTTTGCCCTGTGGGAGCTGCTTCCTTGACTATCCTAACCTCAGCCACACATCTGAAGTGGGTTTGGGGGAGAATTCCCCCCATCTTGGGTGCATACAACTCTCTCAGCTCACTTCTGATGGTGGGGTTTTGGGGACCCAAGGGTTTCTTTTGGGATTAAACAATCACAGGATTTTACAGAGCAGACTTTTGGCTTCTCTGGGCTAGCCAGTTCTGTGAAACACTTAGAAACCTCCTGGTTTATTTGCTTCCAGTCTCTTCCATACAGGAGTACCATACTCAAAGATCCTTTCTGGGCATAGTTCTTAAGCCTACCAACTCCCCTTTTTTAGTAACTGGCTTCCCTGTTTGGCCCATCCCTGCTGCGTCGTTTTGATGATGGCCCCCTTGAGGCCCCAAAACAATAGACTGGGTAAGAAGGTGTCACTCTTCATCAGATCTTTGCCATGGGGCTGATTCCCATTGTCAGGTAGTAAATCCTCATGGTATGTAGCACAGTCTGCTTCTCAGGTTATTAAAGGATGTGGCTTTACCAAATAACCTGCCACAGAGTAACAAGGGCCATCAGCTTTCCACAGGGCCATGTCTGTTTTCCCATTCATGTCGCCCAACTGCTAAGCTAAGGCCATTATTTTTTTTTCTTAAGGTTTTATTTCTTTTGTCAGAGAGCACAAGCCAGGGGAGTGGCAGGTCAAGGGAGAAGTAGGTAGAGGGAGAAACAGGCTCCTAAAAAGCCAGGCACCCGATGCGGGACTTGATCCTAGAACCCTGGGATCATGACCTGTGCAGAAGGCAGACACAACTGACTGAGCCACCCAGACATCCCAAGACTATGTATTTTAGATGTTTATTTTTTCAAGGCTGCATTTCACTCTCATTACCAATTTCTCTATCAGTTAGGTGTAGGTTAAAGCTGCTGTAACAAAAAGTCCCAAACACAATGACTTCAACATGACAGGATTCTCTTTTATTCTCACATAACAACTCAGAGTAGACAGTTGTGCCAGGGCAAACGGGTGATTCTACTCTGCTGCATGAGTTGGACCAGGGTCCCGAGTGCCTTCTGTTCTGTTGCTTCTCCATCCCTATGACCATAAAGGACACAGCCAGAGCTGTCCCACCTCCCCCCAGCCTGGAGAACATAAAAGAAAGGAGCAAAAGGCTCTCCATCTCTTTACCAAAAATGTGATCCTGAAGTTTCCCATCTCGCTTTGGGCCACACCGCTGATGAAAACTTCGTCGTACTATGCCGCCGAGGTATCCAGCAAATATGGTCTCTAGCTGAGCGGCCGTGTGAGCAGCCATATTGGCTTACGTACTTACTTCTTACTTAAAGCAAGAAGGAGAGGGGCACCTGGGTGGAGGTTAAGGCTCTGCTTTGGGTCATGATCTTCGGGTCTGGCATGGTTAGGTAGTGATTTCAGGGTTCTGAGATCGGGCCCCACATCAGACCCCCTACTCAGTGTTTCTCCCTCTCCCCCTCCCCCACTCTCTCCCCACTTGTGCATGGGTGACTCACACCTGTCCGTGCTCTCTCTTGCTAATAAATAAATAAAATATTTTTTTAAAAAAGGAAGAAGGAGAAAATAAATCCTGGGGAGCAATTGATAATCTCTGCCTCAGAGAGAAAGGCAAGCCATGAAGAGTGACACAGACCACATCCCGACAGTCAGGAGGAAGCCCACTTTCTGCGGCGATTATCTCCATGAAAATGGGGAATTTGTTAGTCAGTCAGTCTGGCTATGCCAGTGTTTTGTGTCCTGGGAACAGGCTTTGCCCATTGTTCCCCGGGGCCGCTCCTGGGAGGGACACTGGGGAGGACTCTCTGACTGTGGGCTCTGCCACCAAGCAGCCGGCCGCCCCTTGGAGGGCTGGGATTGCGTGAAGGCTTGTGCAATCACAGACACCTTTTGCAAAGCTTGGGAGTTCCTTGTTTGTTAGTGTGTTGGTTTTGACAGTTTGTTTTGTAACACGACTCAAATAGCATTCACTTGAACTCTGAGAGCTGGTAAACACCACCAAAATTTTGCCCACACCCAATCGTTGAACCTTCTGTCTCTTAGATCCAGGGCTGCGGGAGCTCTGCTCAGCCTCTTAAGCCATGGCATCTCCCTTGACCTTGACCTTTGCTGGGGAGGTGGGGCTGTGCTGCCCCTGCTCCCAGGCTATGCTTCAAGATGGAGGTATTGGGTGAGTGACAAGGGTTGGAATGCTGGGAAGGTCCATAGCAGTAGCAGGGGTTCACCGAGTCTCCCAGTGCTTCCTGTCAAGCTGTCCTCTCTGAGTAATAGTGTTCTTCCTGCGCTGGAATGGGGCAAGCCTCTTCCGCAATACCTGCCACAGGAAGTGGTTCTGCTGGAAATGCCACTGGGTTTTCCTCTCTTCTCAGGGTGCAACATAGAAAACATCTGCTACCCGTTGGGCGTCTGTGCGGAGCGGACAGCAATCCAGAAGGCCATCTCAGAAGGACACAGAGAGTTCAGGGCCATCGCTATCTCCAGGTAAAGGGTGGGAAAGGCAGGTTGCAGCCGTATACATCCATCTGTTTGGCCAACGCTCACCACACACATGTTATCCATCCGTTCATTCATCTAACACATTTATTCTGTACTTCCTATGTGCCAGGCACTGTCGGGCTTGGCTGAGTGCTGAGAATAAAGAGAAAAATCAGAAATGGACTCTGCCCAGGATGCCTGGGGTGGTTCAGTCAGTTAGGCAACTGCCTTCAGCTCAGGTCATGATCTCAGGGTCTTGGAATCAAGTCCTGCATCGGGCTCCTTGCTCAGAGGGGAGCCTACTTCTCCCTCTGCCTGCCACTTCCCCGGCTTGTGCGTGGTCTCTCTCTCTCTCCCTCCCACAAATAAATAAATAAAACCTTTAAAAAAAAAAAAAAAAGAAATGGACTCTGCCCTCAGTGAGCCCAGAGCAGATAAACAACCAACATATCTTTAGCTTAAGGGTAGGTGTGGTTTTTGTTCTAATAACAGCGCAGACTACAACAGGATGCCTGCAAGCCACAACAGAAAGGCAGCATAGAAACCTAAAGCTGGAGGGACCTAAGAATCACCTGATATAGACTCCCTGGCCACGACCCCATTTTACAGATGGACAAACAGGCCCAACAAGGTTGGGTAACTTCCCTGGGATTCGTGGCAAAGCTGGGAGGATCCCAGATCTCTGCAGCCTCACTCTGGGCTCATTCCACACCACCATGCTGTGCCGAGAAGTCAAACACCCTTCCCCACTCTCATTGAGCTGCCTCAGGGATCCCTTGGCATTCCCTACCTCTGAGTGCCAGGAAGCAGGCTACCAAGACAAGCTGGTGGGGTGACAGCCAGGTCAACCCGGGTTACAGTTCACACTAATCAGATTCCATTCGGGTCCTGACTGAACAAAAGCATTAATCAACTCTCTGTACATGCTCCAATGTAAATAACCAGTTTCCTGCAGCCACTCCAGAAAACAGCATGGAGGTTCCTCAAAAAGTTGAATATAGACTACCCTATGACCCAGCAGTTGCACTACTGGGTATTTACCCTAAAGATACAAATGTAGTGATCCGAAGGGGCACATGCACCCGAATGTTTATAGCAGCAATGTCTACAATAGCCAAACTATGGAAAGAACCTAGATGTCCATCAACAGATGAATGGATAAAGAAGATCCGGTGTATATATATATATATATACATATATATACACACACATACACACACACACACAAACATACATACATATACACAGTGGAATACTATGCAGCCATCAAAAAACCCCGAACAAAATCTTGCCATTTCCAATGACATGGCTAGAACTAGAGGGTATTATGCTAAGTGAAATAAATCAATCAGAGAAAGACATTTATCCTATGATCTCACCAATTTGAAGAATTTGAGAAACAAGACAGAGGATCATAGAGGAAGGGAGGGAGAAATGAAACAAGGTGAAACCAGAGAGGGAAACAAATCTTAAGAGACTCTTGGTCTCAGGAAACAAACTGAGGGTTGCTGGAGTGGAGAGGGATGGGAGGGATGGGGGAGGCTGGGTGATGAACATGGCGGAGGGTATGTGCTATGGTGAGTGCTGCAAATTGTGTAAGACTGATGAATCACAGACCCACCCCTGAAACAAAGAACACATTATATGTTAATTTAATAATAAATAAATAAATATCAAGGTTCCCACATGTGGACCCTCACAGGACGTTCACTGAGTTCTTGTCATAGGTCATAGGGTAGCTCTGTTGGCCCCAGACCTAGGCAAGGTGGCATCAGGATTTGAGCACGAATGGGCTCTTTCACTCCCTCAGACCCTGTCCCTCTTCCGGTTTGATGGTGAATTGCTCTTGTGTGCACCTTTGCATTGTCTGAGGACAAGTTCTCTTTTATTACTCTTTTTTTTTTTCAAGATTTTATTTATTTATTTACTTATTTGGGAGGAGTGCGAGTTGGGGGAGGGAGAAACTCCAGCAGACTCCCTGCAGAGCGTGAAACCCCACACAGGGCTCAATGTCATGACCCTGAGATCATGACCTGAGCCCAAATCAAGAGTCCAGGAAGCTTAACCCATGGAGCCACCCAGATGCCCCCAAGAGAGTTTTCTCAGCAGAGTAATGGTGTGGGGGAGATGCCACGGGAAATGTTTAATCTACCCAGAGAGCGACTGCGAGGCTGACCAGACGTTGGTCTTTCAGGACCTCCAGGTGCCTGGGTCACAGATGAGGAGTGCACTACCCCTCCCTCGTGCTGGCCCTGCAGGGCCTTGTGGGCAGAAACGCAGGGACTTAGCACAATGTCCTGCAGGGGCCACATGGTAGAAACAACCCCCGTTTCTTTTTTCTTTTTTCTTTTTTTTTTTTTAAGATTTTACCTATTTATTCGACAGACAGAGATCACAAGTAGGCAGAGAGGCAAGCAGAGAGGGAGAGAGGGGAGGAAGCAGGCTCCCTGCTGAGCAGAGAGCTCGATGCAGGGCATGATCCTAGGACCCATGGATCATGACCTGAGCGGAAGGCAGAGGCTTTAACCCACTGAGCCACCCAGGTGCCCCCAAGCCCCTGTTTCTTTATAGGATCCCAAACTTTGCCTCAGTCTGGCCCCGAAGTGGACCAGGCTATTGAAGTCTATTTTCCTGAGCGACTGGAGCCAAGGGGGGATGACGGAGAAGGGCCCAGCTTCCCAGAGCCTTCCCTTGTCACCAAGGTCTGTCCTGGCTCCCCTTCAGCTTAGGGAGGAATAAATGAGGCTGTGCTGGGAACATTTTGTGCAGATGATTAGAGCTCAGGATGTGGATTACACTTAATTTAAAAGCAGGGTGTGGGGAAATAACTCATACAAAGCTGATCCAAGAAAATAATGGTATTCTGGGTGAAAAAGAGGCCAAAGTCAACAAAAGAAGATAAAAAAAAGGACTGGGTATCACTAGTGATGATTAGCAAATGTCCTTATTTACATTAAACCTGCATTTTTCTAGCACCCAACTGCTCTGCTCCAGCGATCCAGCCTGTCCCAGCGTCTCTGAGCCAGAAATGCAGCCATTATTACATTAATGACTTGGTAAATTGGGTGCGTGGGTTTGCAGAATGAGTGGAAAGTGCCAGCTCCCTTGTTAACACTGATGGGTGTGAACACTTTCAGAGAGCCCCTTCGAGATCTACAGGACGTGTGGAGCTCCAGAGTGTGGAGCCCAGGATGGGATTTTGCTAACAGGAAGCTAAGCTTGTCCCAGGGTGGGCCCCAGTGTAGGCATCAAAGACTATCGGTTTCCAGCCCGTCGCATCTGATAAGGATGGTCCCAGCGTGTGAGCAGAATCAGCACAAATACAGAAACTGTTGATCCCAGCACAAGGTGGGAGAGGTCGATGTCCCGCTGCACCAACCATATTTCAGGGAGTGTCTTCTCCAAAGCTTTCGATTCTTACTCTTGACAGGAAGATTGAGTAATGGTTAAAAACCCTGGTTCCGAGGTTAGTGAGACCTGGGTAACCCTGTTTCACTGCTTTTCGTCCCTAGCATGGAGAAGATTGACATACACCCCCTGGGCTGTCACCACGCGACAGGAAGTGATTTCTGTACAGGTCCTGGCACAGAGTATGCAACAAATTACAGCTACTGTTTTCACTTTATCCTTATGACTTTTGCAAGCTATAAAACTCCCAAAGGCAGAGCCCGCAAATCCTGGATTCAGATTTTGATCCTGCTAGCTCTGTGACCTTGGGCAGGTCATGTCATCTTCCATGACCTATAACATGAGGATGATAAGACTACCTACATAGCCCCTACCTTATGGGGTTGTTAGGGGATTAAATGAGTTCGTGTCCCTGAAGTCCTTAGCACAGGAGCCCGGCACAGAGAAGTGCAACGTAAGGGGAAGCCTGAGTTTTGTCTGTTTTGCTCATTGCTGTATCCCCAGCACCAACAGGGCCTGGCACAGTGCATCAATAAACATTTGTCAGTTAAAATGAGATAATTCATTTAAGTGCTTTGCAGGATGCCTGGAACCCTCCAGGCACATATTAAATAATATGATAATCATTGCCAACATATATATGATAAATTAATTTTAAATTATATGTAAGTTATATATAATAAATCTGTATGAGGAGGTACTAAAATGAAGACAGAGCTAATACGTGTAAAGGAATGAGTGCCCAGTAGTATAGTCAATAGTGATACGTATAGACCACTCCAAGGTTTACAAAGCCCTCGGCACACTTTTTTTTTTTTTTTTAGATTTTTTATTTATTTATTTGACAGAGAGAAAGATCACAAGGAGGCAGAGAGGCAGGCAGAGAGAGAGGGGGAAGCAGGCTCCCTGCTGAGCAGACAGCTTGATGCGGGGCTCTATCCCAGGACCCTGAGATCATGACCTGAGCCGAAAGCATAGGCTTAACCCACTGAGCCACTCAGGCGCCCCGCCCTTGGCACAGTTTATCTCATTTTGTCTTCCAGCATTCCTGCAAAGTAGGTGCCATGATTCCCTACATGTTACAGGCAAAGAAATGCACATTGAATGGGTTAAAATTACTTGGTTAAAGTCACACATGGTTAACGAAAGGAGGAGCTGACCAAAAACCAAAACTGAAGTCCTGTGTCCTTGCAGAGGTCTCTCAGAGCTGTGGGTCTAGAAAAGCAAGGACGATGGTGGTAGCGGACATAACCGCTGGTGCTTCAGCAGGCTTGGCGGTCCCTACTGTTAAACTCACCTTCCCTAAGTGCCACTCCTCATCCTGCTCAAAGCTAGAGGACTGCCTGTAGGTGGCTCCTTTCTGAGAGGCCAACCCTTGGCTGTAAGCATCTCTTCCCTAGACTTCTCAGATGCCAGGAGCCTGTTTTACCCTTTGACTCACATGTCTTATTTTTTTGCATGCCACAGGGCCTTCGCACATACTATTTCTGTTGCCTACAGCACAGAAAAACATGGGGCTTCGGTCTAGCACCTCTGTTAGTTACTTCATTTCACTGAACCTGTTTTCTTGCAGATAAGATGGTCATTCTGACACTCAGGTTGCACTGAGAATTCAAAGAAATAATGGATAGCCAATGCCTGCTACAGATCTTGGCACACAGTAGCTGCTTGCTAATGGTGACTTAGGAATGCTCCATTTCCTCCAAGGACAGAACCAAATGCCATCTCCTCCACAAAATATTCTCTATTGTTCCCCTGTCAGGGATTGTCTCCTCTTAGAGTACGTTCTTACCGCATTTTGTTTAAAATGATAATTCATCCAGGTGTCTGCTTGTTCACTGGGCTGAGCAGACTCCTGAAGGCCAGAGACATATTCCTCTTAACCTTTGTGTCCCTGGAGTGTGGGTGACAGTGAGTGTTTTGTGTCCCTGGAGTGTGGGTGACGGTAAGTGTTCACTTAACGTTTCCCAAAGGCACTGATGAAAACGACACGCCTCTGGTTGGAAACTGCCTGGTAGGGTGGGGTGTGACCTCATCCAGAGCTGGGCAGAGCCTCGGGGCCTGATCTCCACAGCTGTCCTCATGCCTCAGGAGAGACTGATCCGGGTTTGATTCTCTGTCCCCACAGTGACCTGCAAGATGACTTTATCTCACCCTGCGGAGCCTGCAGGCAAGTCATGAGAGAGGTAAGCACCTTGCCTTTCTGGAAAAGGTACACCAGGTGCGTCCCTGGCGTCCCTGGCCTCCCAGGCTGCCAGCCAGGACACATAGCTACCGTCCTGTGTGCCCTGTTGGCCGACAAGCTTGCCCAAGCTTGCATGAATCGCTGGAAATTATTCCTTCACACAACAGCCACTGGAGTGTCTGCTGTGTGCTGAGCACTGAGCTAGGGCTGGGGAGACAGCAGTGAGCAGACAAGCCAGGCCTTGTCTTCAGAGTTCACAGTCTAGTGCAAGAGATAGACAACAAACAAGGAGCAAAATAAACAGTTTCTGAGAATGATGAGGGCTATGGAGAAAAGAGTGCAGAGAAAGGAATCCGAGGTCAACAAACACTGGTCCAGGGCAAATCCAGCCCTGTCCCTTTACTATTGTAAATAAAGTTTTATTGGCACACAGCCCCGCCCATTCCTGTACGTTTTGTCTGTAGCCGCTTTGGCCCTATGACAGCACAGCTGGACAGTTACAAGGAAGCCCTGTGGCCTGCAGAGTCTAAAATAGTTCCTGTCTGGCCTGTTACAGAAAAATAGTTTGCCCACCGCTGCTTTAGATAGCCAGGAAGGGCCTGTCTTGGAGGATGACATCGGCGCAGAGATATAAATAATAAAAAATGAGGCAGACAAAGGTCTAGAGAAGATTTCCAGGCAAAGGAAGCAGCATGTTTAGTGCCCATACACTTGGTGAGTTTGATTAAGTCGTGAGAAGGCCAAAGAGGCTATAACAATGAATAAGGAGGAGAAATAATGGGACTGAGGGCCTTATAGGCCATGGGACAGAGGGTACACTGGATTCCAAAAAGAAAGGGAACTGAATTGTGCCCTTAGAAATGGTGAAAAGCATGGGGCGCCTGGGTGGCTCAGTGGGTTAAGCCTATGCTTTCAGCTCAGGTCATGATCTCAGGGTCCTGGGATCGAGTCCTGCATCCAGCTCAGCAGGGAGCTTGCTTCCCCCCTCTCTCTGCCTGCCTCTCTGTCTACTTGTGATCTCTCTCTGTCAAATAAATAAATAAAATCTTTAAAGAAAAAAAAAGAAATGGTGAAAAGCAGATTCGATGAGTTCTTAATCTGGCTCAGTGGTAAGTTTTTTTGTGCGTATATGTACATTTGGGGAGTGTCAGTAGCTTTCCCAGGCTCCCCAAGAGGTCTGTGTCCCCCAGAGTCCCCAAAAGGTTAAAGCCACTGGCCTGGAGAATCCCACAGGCCCTTGAACTTCCAGGTGACATCATCAGCCCTTCTAAACACAGCATCTCCTTTCATCTTGACCCCAGCCTATCAGGGAAGTGGGGGGCGGGGCGTTACTCCCACTTCCAGAGAAGTAAAACGGCCTGCTGAAGGACATGCAGCCGGATGGTGGTGAGCTGGCGTTCATGGTCAGTTCAGGCTCACTGTTCCTCATGGCCGTCTCCCTGCCTTTGTGGGTCTATAGACAAGACCGATTCCCTTGGGCCCTGGAGGAGATATAACGGTGCTTTGCAGACTAGGAGAACAGGAGCGCCTGGTGCCCTGGAGATGTCTGCTTTTGGAGCTGTTTACATCCTGGGAGAGAAGGGGTTGTTTCCTTTCATTTGCTTTTGTGCCCTGGGGTTTCAAAGCATTGCCTATCATGCAGACAGCTCCATTGTTTTTCTGCTTCTTGCCAGGCCTGCAAACCAGACAGAGTTAGCAGCCCATGGTTCCCCAGTTCAGATGCAAATACCGCCATAAAGGCATTGAATCCACAATATGGACTCATCTCACGTTCCAGGGGCAGAAATGGCTGCCCAGCACCTTGTCGTGTCCAAGGCCATGTGAGGAAACCACATCAGAGTGCCAGCTCCCTGGCTCCCCAGGCCCCAGCTTAGGCCAACTGCTCATTGCTGTTTTCCCCAAACAGATTAGATGTTGGCAAACGAGAGAAGGTGAATAAAAAAAAGCTAAAGGAGGGAGAGGCAGAACTGAAACCAAAAATGCAAATAACAAATGATGAAGCTTGGGGGCCGAGGATGGGGCCCTCGGACTCGCCACCACTCAGGTTTCATCCATACCCTCAGGCAGAGCCTGCCAAGCAGAAAAATCTCCTTCCTTAAAGCATTAATTAAGAACAACAACAACAAAAAATCCAGGGTGCCTGGGTGGCTCAGTGGGTTAAAGCCTCTGCCTTCGGCTCAGGTCATGATCCCAGGGTCCTGGGATTGAGCCCCACATCGGGCTCTCTGCCCGGCGGGGAGGCTGCTTCCCCCCCACACACCTGCCTGCCTCTCTGCCTACTTGTGATCTCCGTCTGTCAAATAAATAAAATCTTTAAAAAAAAAAAAATCCAGAGACTGATCATGCCCCATAATAATGTGATTCAGACAGAAGCATGGAAAGCCATTAGGCTACTCAACACGTCAATAAGAATGGCTTCCATTAACTAAGCACCTGCTATGTCCAGGCACTATGTCCAGTGCCTTCTGTCCGTCATAAGTCTCACAATGCACGGCCGGGCCGAGACCCAGTTTGCTAACTCCAGCTCTGGGGCCCTGCATCATGCACAGCTGTCTTCCTGCCCGGTACTTTCTTCTGTTCTTTTTTTGTTTCTTTTTTTTTTTAAAGATTTTTATTTATTAGACAGAGAGCTAGAGAGAGAGCACAAGTAGGCAGAGAGGCAGGCAGAGGGAGAGAGAGAAGCAGGCTCTGCTGAGCAGGGAACCCGACGCAGGACTCGATCCCAGGACCCTGGGATCATGACCCAAGCCAAAGGCAGCTGCCCAACCAACTGAGCCACCCAGGCGCCCCACTTTCTCCTGTTCTTAAAGTCATTTCACACATCAAGATGCTGAGCCCCAGAGGATCGGATCGTTTGCCCAAGATCAAACATCAAGCAAGTTTTAGCTCCTGAGAGTAGAAGAGAAAGATGGGGAGACAGATCTGAGCTAAAATTTCTTCTTTGCTGGCTTTACCCTCTTAAGCGTAAAGTGGGGGTACGATTGCACGTACCACAAGAGCATAGAGTAAAATCATGCATGGGCAGTATCTGGTGTGTAGTGAGCCAGGCTTGCACCTGCTCATGCTTGGGAGGAGTGGAGGACATGCTGGAGGGAAGCAGGGTTTTAGTTGTCGAATGTCCTGGCAGGAGGAGGTCTAGCCCTGGGGGTTACTGTTCCTGTAAAGCCCCGGGCAAGTCTCATCACAGAACAGAGCGCTTACTGCTCCTTAACAGAGTGCTGAGCAGTTTTAATTGCTCAGTGGGCATTCTTGCATTGGCTCTGTCCTCAAGCTCTCTGGGCCAGGTATGACTGTCATCCCCACTTTACAGATGAGAAAACTGAGGCACAGAAAGGACCATTCTGCAGCTAGAGTCAGACTCAAATCAAGGTCAGTCCTAATCCCTCGGACACGCTACCTCCCTCATGATGGCTTTGCTTCTTTTTCCAGTTTGGCACCAACTGGGCTGTCTACATGACCAAGCCAGATGGCACCTATGTTGTCAGGACAGTCCTGGAGCTGCTGCCTGCCCCTTTCGGGTCCATAGGCTGGCAAAAGATCCAGTGAGTTCGGGAAAATGCCCACTGCCTGGAAGAGCCTGGGTTTCCACATGTATTTAAGGGGACAACTGCCCAGAGAACTTCACGAAGATGTTCTTACAGACCTGGAGACATCTGCCACGTGGACAGGGCTGGGCAGAGATGGCTTTTCCAAATGACACTCGAGTGCGGAGATCTTCACTGAAGCAATAAAGGGTTTTGTTCCATCCTGGGCCAACATCCCTCCTGGCAACCCACCTTGTCCTTCCTGGGACAGGAGCACCCATCCCTTCCTTTCCTTCCCAAGAGCCATCTTTAAAATTCCAGCCAAGTCTGGACTGCTTCTCCGTCAGCCTTCCCAAGGTTCTATACTGTTCTGAGCGACTTTTCTAATTATAGACCTCACAGAGTGCACGTTTTGCTCCGTCTCTGTCATTGTTCACAACTCTAAGGGTGACAGAGTGATTTGTCTTTCTAGAAAGACCTGGACACTTTCTGCTAGGGGAAAGTGGGACCGTGTACCCTTCGGTGTGGAGAGCTGGGTTTTTAGGCAACTTGCTCCTCCAGATGGGAGGCCCCACTGGGCTGGGCCAAACTGCCAGTGGCCATTTCTAGAGTCTATTTTGGACTCAGGGTAGACCTGAGCACCTCTGGATGCTGTCCCCCTCTCCACGGCTGTATCTGAGTGATTCCAAAGTATAAGGGGAAAGGCAGGAGTTCGTCTAGACAGGGTAAAAATGTATCTCTGGGGGCACCTGGGTGGTTCAGTGGGTTAAGCCTCTGCCTTGGGCTCAGGTCATGATCCCAGGGTCCTGGGATCAAGCCCTACATCGGGCTCTCTGCTCAGCAGGAAGCCTGCTTCCCTTCTTCTCTCTGCCTGCCTCTCTGGCTGACTCTCTGCCTACTTGTGATCTGTCTGTCAAATAAATAATAAAAATAAAATCTTTTAAAAAGAAATGTATCTCTGAAGACTGACTGTGTGGTACTTCCCTGTGGATTCTTTTTTCTTTTCTTTCCTCTTTTTTTTTTAAGACTTCATTTATCCATTTGACAGCGACACAGCAAGAAAGGGAACACAAGCGGGGTGGGGGGGGGGGAGAGGGAAAAGCAGGCCTCCCGCTGAGCAGGGAGCCTGACATGGGGCTCAATCCTGACCCTGGGATCATGACCTGAGCCAAAGGCAGACGCTTAACGTCTGAGCCACCCAAGGTGCCCGCATGGATTCTTTTTATTTAAAGTGCCTAGCAGCTCACTGAAGTGGTTATCTTCTTAGAGATGAGGGCACTGGGCTTCAGAGAGGTTGAGTGACTCACTCTAGGACTGTGCGAAAGCTCAGACCTGAACCCAGGTCTCGGAACTCTGAGTGTGGTGTAGAAATAGTGCGTGATCTTTGCCAGGAGCTGTGCTAAGGCGTGTAACACATATGAAGGCTTATGTGAACCCTCATTCATCAAGCTCAAAGTGCATTGTCCTCATTTTACCAAGGAGCAAATAGAAGCTCAGAGAGGTAACGTCACTTGCTGAAAGTCACACAGCTAAAAGGCAGCACAGCTGGAACTGGAGTCAGGTCTGTCTGATTCCAAGTGTTTTGTTGTTTCTGGGGTTTTTTTCCATTCTCCTGCAGCCGAAGTTTGGCTGCCTTTGTATATTTTACATGGCAAAAACTGCAAAGTGAAAGATGCGTAAAAAATAGTCTGTGCCCTTGAGAGGTGTAAACAGGTCAAGTGTGTGGAAATATACACAGTGATCCAGGCGAGTACCAGATGCAAGGTGGGTATAGTCGAGGTGCCATGCTGCATTCTGGGGTGTGAGGAGGTTAGGGAGGGGACTATAGCATTGATGCATTGGTTATCAAACGTTGTCCGTCTGTCTTTTGCCCCTCTCTTTCATGCACACACACAATTAGGAAGATGAGGCCTCAGTAAGGAAGGGAGCCAGGCTGGCCCTCTAAAGGGGGCTGATGGCTCTGGGTGTCCTCCCTGGAAGTTGGCCTTGGGACCAGCCCCACTGGCTGAATGAGAATAGAGCACAGATTTCTTCTTTCCTAGGCAAGCAAGTTGCTGGGGGCGCCAGTAGTGGACAGGCAAGTCACCCCTTTCCTGTGAGTCTTTCTACTCAGATCCAGAGATCGTGGAAGTATTGCTGTCTGGCTTTTCCACAACACACCCAGACCTCCCTGCCGCCATCTTGGGAGGCAGGAACGTGGTCCCAGCATGGCTGCACAGCGCAGAAGTCGACTCTGCCTTTCTTTAGAAATGGTCAATAGGGTCTTCAGCTCAGTCTTCTGAATGTTCTCAATGAAGCAGGATGGAGAAAGAAAAAAAAAAGAAAGTTGAAAGAAAATGCACTAAGATGTTAACATCAGTTAAAATTCTGGTCAACGGGAATCTCAGTTCATGATTTGTTTTCTTTGTACATATCTGAATTTTTAAAAAATATTTTATGTATTTATTTGACAGAGAGAGACATAGCAAGAGAGGGAACACAATCAGGGGAGTGGGAGAGGGAGAAGCAGGCTTCCCACCAAGCAGAGAGCCTGATGGCGGGGCTCGATCCCAGCGTGACAGACACTTAACGACTGAGCTACCCAGGTGCCCCCATATCTGAATTTTTTTAATTTCCAAAATGTTTTTAAGAACTTAAAAAAAATGAGAGAGCCCAATGGATTTCAAGTTTGGAGCCAGCCAGCCTCCAAACTAGGCAGCTTTGGGCAAGCTGTTTGATTACTCTGAGACTCAATTTCCTCATCTCTAACACAAGGATGATAGTGTCCACCCCATAGAATTGTTGTGCGGATTGAATGAAATCCTGAGCCCAGAGGTCGACCCTCAGTAAGCTCTTTCTGATAAAATCAGCCATGACTTTTATTAAGGGTGACAAATGTTGGTCCTTTGAGAAAAGATTTGATTTTTACCAACAAGCCCATCTACCTGTTCCTTTAACAATTATTGATCTGATGCCTACTGTGTTCTACGGCTGGTGCCAGACCCTGGGGACACGGCGGTGAATAAGACAGATAAAATTCCTGCCCAGTTCTCAGTTTACCCCCGGGAGATGAGATCTAAAGATTATAGGATGTCAAGACAGTCACTGAGGGGAAGACAGCGCTCTGGGAGGAAAGCAGCCAGAGTGGAGCTTGTCTGAGAATGGGAGGGCAGCGCGGAGGAGGGATGGCAGCCAGACCACGAGAAGAGTCCTCCCATTAGGGAACAGAGCTGGGGACAGGTGAAGAATGAGGACTGCCAGAAGCACCAAGTTCAGTGTCCTTAATACTTCCGTGGAGACAGACTGGGAAGACAATCCTCAGAGATTCCAGAATTACTCAAACAATGTCCACTTGGAAGAACAGGACTCACTTGGCTAGAGAGAGGCTGGGATGTTTGTTTAAAATAAAAGGATTCTCGTTTTGTGTCCCCTGTTCTGAGGCCCTGTGATTTCAGAGCAGCACATCCACTGTTATTCAGAGCTGTCTCTGTTTTTTAGGACTCTAAAGCAGAGTCACAGATTCCCGTGGAAAAACATGGAAGCATGTCTATTTCTGCGGCTCTTGACAGCCGCTGCTAATTGCTCATGTAAAATAAAAGATTCTTGAGGATTTCCTTTTAGCGGGGAGGAAAGCACAGCTATAACTGACAGGTGCAAGGGGTACTTTGGGTGCCTAGGTCAGAAGTGAGGCTCGAAATTACTATTCATGAATAAATAATGGAATGGCCTATCTCTCACACTTAGTATTTTGTGTATGATTATGGACACAGAAACAACATAGAAAGAACATCCAATGTGTTACCCATATTTTTGAGGACTAGAGTAAGGGACAGTTAAGGGGAGGGGGATTAAATCCTCAACGACTGAGCAGGAAAAAATAGGGCATAATGATTGCATTATGTACCGATTGCCGTGTAACAAATTATGCCCAAATCTTGCAGTAGCCTAGGACAACAAAAATGTATTATTTAACAGTTTCTGTAGGTCAGGACTCTGGGCAGAAGGGGGTCATTTGGCTCAAGGTCTTGGATAAGGCTGCGGTTTAGATGTCAGCCAGGGCTGTGGTCTCCCTTGAAGGTTTGACCAGGAAATGGTCCACTTCGAAGCACACTCATGTGGTATTGACGGGATCTGGTTCCTGCGGACCATTGTTGTTAAAAGTCCTTGCTACATGAGCCTCTCTGCTGTAGGGCAACCCACAACACAGCAGCTGCCTTCCCACAAAACAAGTGAACAAGACAGCGGGAGAGAGTGAGCCAGACTCCTTTTGTAACCAACCACAAAGGTAACATCCCATCCCTTTTGCCAAAACAAAGAAGCCATATAAAAATTCAGTAGCATTCCTGTAGCTTAAATACTATGGGGCCAATGCAGTAGTTGGTCCAGTGGTGGTGGGGAGGGGAGGCAGGGACGTGTGTAAGCTATTTGACATTCTGAACTGCTTCTTTCTGGCTCCTCTCTACCCCCTCCCTCCTTCCCAGGGGGAGTGAGCGCTGTGATTGGGAATTTAAAAGGATAGCTCAGCCCCTTCCCCTCTCCTCCCCCTTGGGGGCCAGGCTGCCCACAGAGGGCTGTCAGGCAAGGGCTAGAGAGCCAGCAGGCCCCACGCTGGGTGCTGGGGACCCAATGTTTCAAAATCACAATCCCTGAACTAACAGAACTAACAGTTTAGAGGAAGAGACAGAGAGGAAGCATCCAGCCCAGTCTAGGAAAGGTCAAGGAAGTCTTCCCGGACTAGGTATGAACGGGGATTCTTTCAAAGAGGTAAGTCAAGACAGAGGCACCTGCATGTTGCTTGGGACATCTGCAAGTAACTCAATATTGCTGGGCCATAAATAAAGGTCAGGGAAGGGGGGCAAGAAGAAAGATGCCAGGGCCAAACAGAGAAGGACTTGCTGTACCAAGCCAAGGAGGCTGGGCTTTGAGGGGCAAAGGGCAAGGGCAAAGAGCCTGCAAAGGACTGTAATAGCAGGGGACATGGCCATGTTTCTACTTGGAGTTATCACTTCGGGGCAGCGAATTTATGGGACTTGAGCCACAGAGTGTTGAATTTCTGAGCAACACACCTTCTCCCTGACCTCCATCATGTTTTTCTCCATCTCGGCCAGACGAAACAGACACCCTTCTTCCCAATGAAGTCTCTCTCTCTTTCTCTCTCTCTCTGCCCATCATGGTCTGGCTCTAACCTCCAAAAACTGCAGCCCAGGAATTTCAAGCAGCCGGATTTTGATCTCGTAGCAGCTTTGCTCTGTCAACAGTTTTAGCGAAAACCCCTCCACCTCTGTTGGCGATTTAGAGAGAGCATTTCTGAAATGGTCTGTGGATAAAGGATGTTGCTGCTCTGGGAAAATTTGTCTCCTGCCAGGAGGAGACAAAGAGCATGAAATGCTGTCAAAGGACGTTGTCCACAAGGGAAGGTCAGACATCCCTCAACACTTCTTTTTTTTTTTTTTTAAGTCTTGTCTTTTTCCATTTTTACACCAGCATCAGCTTTTTCTCCCCTGTGTCCTTTGGGGGAAGGTTAAGTGATGCTTCTTAGGAATATTACCAGTACAACACAGTCTTGTCACCTGGAGGGAAAAGGGTACAAGGAAGATGGAGGGATGCCACAGAGCTGTGTGTCGGAGAAGTGTCCTAGGGCTTCTCCAAGGACTCCCTCTTTTCTCCTCAAATTCCTGTGGCTGAACATAGCAAACCACGCCTGGTACAGAGTAGATCTGTAATAAATGCTCTAGGGATGAAAGAGACAGGGTACACAGACATCTCCGCAGAAGACCACATATCCCACACCCCTCCCCAACTTCATCGTCTTGGGATAACACAGAAGAGACAGAAGAGGTTTCAGGAGGATGCCCTGAGACCTGAGACTTGGGGCCACTCTCGGAAGCCTTTTCCTTCTCAGGAGGACTGAGGGGGACGAGTGGAATCAGGGTCACAATCCCTAAGAAAGTCAGCTGCTGTGTCTCACCACATGAGGCTGTTTCTCTGCCCCGAGAACAGAGAACACAGAACCCCTGCGATTTCTTGGGAAGCCTCTCATTTAGAAATCCACTCGTCTGCCCTTTCCATACAGAGGGCAGTGGAAGACTCGAGCATTGTGCTGTGCTTGATTTAGACCTGTCAGAAGAAACATCGATTTTGTTTTGTTTTGTTTTGTTTTTGCAGGAGAACTCTCTGTTGAACCAGAAAGTGCCACAGCCTCCAATGGAGGGCTAATTAATATCACTCTGGAGAGTTCCTTTCTGCAGGTGGGTGGGTTAAGCATCAAGGGCTGGCCAGGTGGTTTGCAGCTTAGGGGAACAAAACCAGAGGGGGACAACAAATGCCCTCTTTAATCAAAAACACTGATACAATGTCCCTGTCCCTTCGGTGAATACTTCTTACAAGCTGGGTAATCATCACAAGCCTTAGGGTAAAATGTTCCATTCCTAGGAGAGTAAAGAAAACCCTTGTAGTTAAAACATTCAGTCTCTCTGAGAACCTCTTGTTCCTTCTCAGTAAACATTAAAGAGAAGGGCTGTAACGACAATGACACAGAGCAGATGAATAGATGTAAACTTCAAATGAGACCTTTGCCCTGACCAGGTTTCCATGGATCAGCCTGAGATTACTGGAGTGTGAAATTTCTCCAACCTTCTCTTCCTTTGCTTTGTCCAAAGGGAAATTTCAATGGAGCGTTTAAAATTATAACTTAAAATTCTCTGAGATCCACTGAAAAGAAAAAAGACAATACCTGATGTCTATGTGCCCCTAGAAAGAGGAAAGAAACTCATCCATGTATCTATGTATGTCTCGGGGCGCTAGTGTGGCTCAGTGGATTTAAACCTCTGCCTTCGGCTCAGGGTTCTGGGATCAAGCCACAACAGGCCTGCTTCCCCCTCTGTCTCTGCCTGCCTCTCTGCCTGCCTCTCTGCCTACTTGTGATCTCTGTCTGTCAAATGAATTAAAAAAAAAAAAATGACACATATCTATGTATGTCTCTCCCAAATTAATATGAAAGGGTGTCATCAGGGCCCTGCAATTTCTCCTGATAAAAGAGATCAGGGGCGCCTGGGTGGCTCAGTGGGTTAAAGCCTCTGCCTTTGGCTCAGGTCATGTTCTCAGGGTCCAGGGATGGAGCCCCGCATCAGGCTCTCTCTGCTCAGCTGGGAGCCTGCTTCCCTTCCTCTCTCTCTGCCTGCCTCTCTGCCTCTCTGTGATCTCTCTCTCTGTCAAATAAATAAATAAAATCTTAAAAAAATAAAAAAGAGAGAGAGAAAGAGAGATCAGAACACACACACACACACACACACACACACACACACACACACTGCTGAGACCGTTGACTGACTACCTGTTCCTAGCCAGGGGCCCACCCTACGGCCAAGCAAGCCTGGGGGTAGGTGATTGAAGACTCCTTCCAGCATTAACATGTCCTCCTTGACTTCATATTTAAGGTGGAAGAAAGGGGTTGAAACATGTTCTCTCTTGGTGTCCTGCCTCTCCCACCACACCATCATCAGGAGAATAGAAGAGAAGATGCTTCCTAATGTTGGCTGGCCCTAAACAATGGTAATTCCCATCCTCTGTTTCAGAAAGAGGTTGACTCAGATGTGTGCTACTGCAGAGCAAAGTTCAACTCCAGGTTTATAATACAGCAAAGTTCATTATTAAAATGCATTTGTTGTTTGAAACCACTAAGTTCAAAGACAGTAAACTTTGTGAACTTTAACACACTATTCAAAATAAGTTCATTTTGGGGGGCACCTGGGTGGCTCAGTGAGTTAAAGCCTCTGCCTTGGGCTCAGGTCTTGATCTCAGGGTCCTAGGATGGAGCCTCGCATCGGACTCTCTGCTCAGCGGGGAGCCTGCTTCTCTCTCTCTGCCTGCTGCTCTGCCTACTTGTGATTTCTGTCTGTCAAATAAATAAATAAAATCTTAAAAAAAAAAAAACTGACACCACCACAAAATATACATCTGAGGTTTGGCTTCATTTCTTGTTAAAGAATAACTCTCTGAGTAAATGAAGCAAGATGGGATTGGGAGGAAGATAAACCATAAGTGACTCTTAATCTCACAAAAAAAACGGGGGGTTGGGGGGGGGGGGGGGGGTGGGGGGGGGGGTTGTTATGGACATTGGGGAGGGTATGTGCTATGGTGAGTGCTGTGAAGTGTGTAAACCTGGCGATTCACAGACCTGAACCCCTGGGGAAAAAAATATATGTTTATAAAAAATAAAAAAAAATTAAAAAAAAAAGAATAACTCTCTGATCCAAATAAATTATGTAAACCGTGTTTGGATCCCAATCTGAATAACTATAAACCAAAATAAAAAGATGGGGAGATCTGAATATCAGCTGGAGAGTAAATGATATTACGAAGTTCATGTTCATCTTTCTAGAGATGATAATAGTATGGTTAACAGGGTTTTTCTTTTAAAAGAACTCTTATCTCTTAGAGATAGCTACTGAAGTATTTATAAGTGAAATAAAATGTCTGGGATTTGCTTTAAAGTAACGGGGGTAGGAGGGTTAGTAGGAAGGTATAAATGAATAAAATAATGGCTATTTGTCGGTAATTGTTGAAGCTGGATAACGGCTGTATGGGGCTCACTAAATTCTTTTTGTTGCGAATGTTTGAAATTTCCCATTAAAAACAAAGTCAAGGAAAGAAAAAAGAAATCACTCAGTACAAGTCCCTCTATCAGCCATTCCTAACAGAGGCTTTGGGTAAAAGGGCTTTGCCACTAACAGGCAATGTGACTTTAGGCAAGCTGCTCCGTGTCTTGCAGCCTTAGTTTACACATTGGAAAAACATAGACTTCAGGCGAGATTTCTTGTGGGGGGTCCTAAGAAGGGAAGAGGACTGTGGGTTTGTAGAGAGGAGCCTAAGGGCATGAGGAGGTGGGATGGGTGTTTCAAGGAATCCATAATAGCTGAACTTGGCGTTTTGAGAAAGGAACACTTTATTGCTATTATAAAAACCTAGTAGAAACAGAAGTGGAAAGGGAAAAACAAAGGAATCTACACATAGACAAGGATACTAGGAAGCAGTAAAGGAGAATAAGGCAAAGTTACATCTGCAGGATCTTACAACATCCAGCCTCATCAGCTGGGGAAGCCCCTTGGAGACAGCCAGGCTGGAGGCTGCATTGAGAGGCCTGGGCTGAACATCCTTCCCTCAGGTGAGACTTCTACCCACCGTCCCCATAAGGGCCATACGTCTACGGCAAATATTGTAGTCTGAAGTTAAACATTTGTTTGCCTACATACAGTTTGGAGCAAGCTGCATTCCTCCGTTATCATGACTTTACGGCAAGGAGCCTGGGCTATGTGTGTTTGGCCCCCCTGCCCCGGATTCCATTCTGGGGGGCCAGCCCAGCCTGGAGCCAAAAGGGATATAAGGCAAGATGTATAGCTCTTTGGAGTCCAGACCAGAAAAGCTAGTCCTTTTTTTTTTTTTTTTTTTTTTTAAAGATTTTATTTGAGGGGCGCCTGGGTGGCTCAGTGGGTTAAAGTCTCTGCCTCCGGCTCAGGTCATGATTCCAGAGTCCTGGGCTCGAGCCCCACATCCGGCTCTCTGCTTGCTGGGGGGCCTGCTTCCTCCTCTCTCTCTGCCTGCCTCTCTGCCTACTTGTGATCTCTGTCCATCAAATAAATAAAATCTTAAAAAAAAAAAAAAGATTTTATTTGAGAGTGAGAGAGAGCACAGGGGGTGGGGGGACAAAGTGCAGAGAGAAAGGGAGAAGCAGACTCTCTACTGAGCAGGGAGTTCAAGTTGGGGTTCCATCCCATGACTCTGAGATTATGACCTGGGCCCAATGGCAGATGCTCAAACAACTGAGCCACTAAGTCACCCCCAGAAGGGCCAGTCCTAACCTGGAGCCCAGCTAAAGTCAACTAAGCAGGCTCCCAAAGTCATTCATGCAGGACGAGTCTGACAACATTCTTTAGCCTGCCTGTGTGGGTGCAGGTCGGGGTGGTCGGTTATGCAGGACAAATCACAGAAACCTCCATCCATATAGTGCAGTGGGCAAGGACTCAACAATCGGGACAACGTGAACTTTGATCTCAGCTCTGACACCGCATGTGACGACAGACTGTCACCCTGCTTTCCTTGCCTCAGTTTCCTTATCCATAAAAATGGCATCCTGTGCGAAAATGAAATGAATTAACAGATGTAAAGAGTCTGGCGCGACGGGCAATGGTCCATCAATGTCCGTTTCCTTTCTCAATTTCTCGATTTCGCCCAAGAGCAGAGATGTCCACACTCGAAACCCTTAAACCCTCCACGCTCGGTTCAAAGTGCACAAGCGAGAAACTACCCGCCGCGCAGATACGCGCACGGCGCCCCCTCGCGCCCAGCCGGGGAACCGCCGGAGCAGAGGCCCCGCCCCCCGGCGCCCGCGCCTGCGCAGAGGCACGGCCCCAAGTTTGTTGTGGTGCCGAGCGTCCCGGACGCCTGAGGGGGCTGGAGAGAACCGGGTCGCGGTGCCGCCATGGCGGTGCGACAGGCGCTGGGCCGGGGCCTGCAGCTGGGTCGAGCGCTGCTGCTGCGCTTCACCGCCAAGCCTGGTCCGGGCTACGTCTGGGGGCGGCCCGAGCGGCCGGGCCCCGCGGCGGGCTGGGGTCGCGGAGAACGCCCCGGCCAGGCCGCGGGACCCGGCGCGGAGTCGCGCAGGCTCGGGCTCGGGCTTCCCGACCGCTACCGCTTCTTCCGGCAGTCGGTGGCCGGGCTGGCGGCGCGGCTCCAGCGGCAGTTCGCGGTGCGGGCCCGGGGCGGCGCGGGCCCTTGCGGCCGGGCCATCTTTCTGGCTTTCGGGCTGGGCCTGGGCCTCATCGAGGAGAAGCAAGCGGAGGGCCGGCGGGGGGTGTCGGCCTGTCAGGAGATCCAGGTGAGCGGCGGCCCGGGGCGGGGCGGGGCTAGTGCGGGGGCGGGGCTGGGAGTCACCTGCTGCCTGGGACCACCGGGCCAAGCCCTGCCTCTGTCCCAGGTGGAAAGGCGTTGGACCTGAGCAGTTGAGGCTCATTTGCCGTGGTGCTGCTCTCCTGGTTTGGGGCCCGCACGTCCCGTGTTCCCTTCCTCAAACGGCATGTTCTGGAAGTCATGCGGCGAATTTTAGTGCCCGCTGCAGCATGGCTGGTGGCTTTGTGTAAATTTTCTAAAATGTAATGACAGTTAAATCATAACACTTCTTTTCCTGAGGTAGTTGTCATCCCCAGTTTATGGACGAGGAAAAGTACTCAGAGAGGTAAAGTAATTTTCTCGACGCCGCACAGCTATTAGCAGTGCCCAAAGTCTGGCTCTGCAAAGCCGGGTGCCTTTAACCTGAGCCTCCTCAGTTCAGCCAATTAGTGACATGGCTGAAGCCAAAGTAAAAACTATGAACAACCGTAGCAAACATAAGGACTAACAGTTTTTAATACGCCTGTATGAAGTTACCGGGAGTCACTGGATATGGGGGAGGGGAGGCTTTGTAAATGCCTAAAGACTTGTTTCTGCTGAACCAAAATATCTATTAGGCTTGTCCAGATAAACAGAACCAATAGCATGTGTGTGTGTGTGTGTGTGTGTTTATTTATTTATTTATTTATTTATTTATTTATTTTTAAAGATTCATTTTAAGGAATTGGCTCTGCATTTGTGGAGGCTGGCAAATCCAAAATCTGCTGGGTAGTCCCGCAGGCTGGAGACCCAGGAAAAGCCATTCTTGTGGTTCAGGTCTGAAGGCCATCTGCTGGCCGAATTCCCATTTCTTCCGGGGAGGTCAGTGTTCTGGGGTCTGAAACCGCTCACGGAGTTAGCATAGGGCCTGGGTTGTACAGCGTGGGGCTGAGGTCAGGGAAGATGGGGTGACTTGCCCAAGGACACAGCTCGTTAAGGACTGGGCAGTGTCTCCGATGTTCCCTGGTTTCCAGCCCTTGTTCCAGTTCTTACTCATCACCAGAGTGTCTCATGTTTGAGCTCTGGCCAGTCTGGGTGACAGGTGACATCTGGTCTAGTCCCCAGCTGCTGTCCTTGTCAGCAGTAGGTGTAGCTGTGGAAAACAGTATGGCAGTTCCCCCAAAATTAAAAATAGAATTATCATTTGACCCAGGAGTTCCACTTTTGGTTATATGCCCCCAAAGAACTGAAAGCAGGGACATGAGCAGATGTTTCTAGACCCATGTTCATAGCAGCATTATTCACAGTAGTCAGAAGAATCCAGATGTCCATGGCCGGATGAATGGGTAAACGAAGTGTGGTATCTACATACAATGGAGTATTATTCAGCCTTGAAGTGCTGACACATGCTACAACATAGATGAAATTTGAGGACATTATGCTAAGTAAAAAATAAGCCAGTCATGAGAGGAGAGAGATTGTATGATTCCACTTACCTGAGGTACTTAGAGTAGTCAGGTTCACAGAACAGAAAGTGGAATGGTAGCCACCAGGCACTGGAGGGAGGAAGGAGTGGACAGTTGTGTTTAATGTGTGTGGAGTTTCAGATTTGCCAGACGAAGATGGAGGTAGATGGTGGTGATTGGTTGCACAGCAGTGTGAATGTGCTTAGTGCCATTGAACTATACGTTTAAAAATGACTTAAATAGGGGCACCTGGGTGGCTCAGTGGGTTAAGCCTCTGCCTTCGGCTCCGGTCATGATCTCAGGGTCCTGGGATCGAGCCCCACATCGGGCTGTCTGCTCAGCGGGGAGCCTGCTTCCCCGTCTCTGCCTGCCTCTCTGCCTACTTGTGATCTCTCTGTCTGTCAAATTAAAAAAAAAAATCTTAATTAAACAATTAAAAAGATGACTTAAATAGTCGATTTTATGTTATGTATATTTTAACACAATTCGTAAAAATAATTTTAAACCCTGTACGTGAATGTTCATAGCAGCAATATTCGTAATAGCAAAATATTAAAAACAACCCAAACATCCTTCAGCAGGTGAATTGTTAAACTGGTACGTCTATACATAAATATTAAGCAATAACCAAGAATCAACTATCGTTACAGGAAACAACCTAAATTAACCTCAAGGGTATTAGACCTAGTGAGAAAAGTCAGTCCCCAAAGGGTACATACAGTGTGATTCCATTTCTGTAACATTCTTAAAATGAGAAAACTGTAGAGATAACGGATGAGTGTTGCCAGAGGACAGGGGTGGGTTAGGGGTGGTGCGATACAGAGGTAGCACGAAGGAGTTCTTCTGCAGTGATGGCACAGTTCTGGATCTTGATTGTGGTGGTGATTACACAAATCTGTACATGGGATCCATTTGCATAGAGCTGGCAGTCCTAGCAAGATGGCGGCACCCAGGGCAGGATAGGAGCAGGCGAAGAGAGGACTCGGGGGAGGTTGAAAGAAGAGTTCGGGGGCTTTAAGAGACTGCTCAGCTCACTGCACGCTGCAGCATCCCTGGGCTACGCTCACTGAACGCCGGCAGTGCCCTGAGTCCCACAGTGTTCCCCCTTACCAGTTTATTGACTCAGCTCCAAATTCAGCTTTGTTGTTTGCTCTGTGAAAATGGACCTGGGCCTTTGAAATGTTTTCCTTTGCTAAGAGACAGGGTAAGATTAGTCAGTGGAGGGTCCAGGAGAGATTGCAGGAGGAAGGGCTTTTGCTTCCTGGTTCCTCACCCATCTGCTTGCTCTGCGGGCTCTTGGGCCCCTGCGTTGCCTGCGGCCTCCCCAGCATGTGGCTTCTGAAGTGCCAGGTGGTCAGCAGCTCCCCCCACCCCACACCCACAGTGCCTTCCTGCGAATGACTCTCCATCGCACCCTAGAAGGGGGATTTCCAGTCAATGCCAAGGCACCTTACCAGTGAATCTCTTGTTATTTCTGTTTGCTGTTAAAGTCAATTAATTATTTTTTTTTAATATTTATTTGAGAGAGAAAGAGGGCGTACACAAGCAGGGGAGCGGCAGGCAGAGGGAGAAGCAGGCTCCCCTGCTGAGCAAGGAGCCCAGGACCTGGGATCATGACCCAAGCCAAAGGCAGATGCTTAACCAACTAAACCACCCAGGCGCCCCCCAGTTAATTCTTTATATTAAATGTCACATATTTTTTTTAAAAGTTGGGTAGAGCTGCACACACACAGGAATGAATGCAGGTTTTAAAAGATGGTAAAAACTGAGTAAGGTCTGTAGTCTAGTTGACAGCAGTGTACCAATTTGCTCTCCTGGTTTTGATCCTGAATTGCAGCTTTATAAGATGTCACCATGGAAGGAAACTAGGCGAAGGGACACAGGACACTTTGTGCAGATTTTTTATTTCTTTGCAACTTCTTGTGAGTCTAAATTATTTCAAAATTAAAACTTAAAATATAGGGGCATCCTGGGTGGCTCAGTGGTTTAAGCCTCTGCTCAGGTCATGATCTTAGGGTCCTGGGATCAGGGAGCCTGCTTCCCCCTCTCTCTCTGCCTGCCTCTCTGCCTACTTGTGATCTCTCTGTGACAAATGAATAAATAAAATCTTTGAAAAATATATATCTCATTCTCAAAGCCATGGTTGATAACGGATTACTGTACAGAACACTGCTTCCACTCCATGGAGTTTAAAAACTATTTGGCAAGGCAAGATAGACTCTCTCTTTTTTTTTCTTCTTAAGTTAAAAGTTCTCCCACAAGGTGTATTAGCTTATAGGTACCCAGTGCTGTAGGAATCCTCCAGGTCAGGTTGCTGTAGGCTGGGCTGTCCCTTCTGGTTCTAGAGGAGGGAGGAGCTTCAGGTGGGACTTGATGGATGAGTAGGGAGCCAGGCCGAACCGCTTCACAGAAACAGGTTTGGAGAGAGGCGCCTAAAGGTGAGTACGGGCAGTGCACAGTAGAGTTCAGTGAGCTTCCACAAATAGGAAGCACCAGGCCAAGGTACTGAAAAAAAGGTGTTTGAGCAGAAGAGTGACATGTGAGCGTGAACTGGTAACCAAAGGGTTAATGGCACTAATACGCACAGCTGCAGTTTTTACCCAGGCTTTCTCCACTTGCTGTGCAGTACCCCTGACTCTCCTCCCCCTGGGAAGCAGATTTGAGCTTTCTCCCCACTCCCCGCCCCACCGCCTTATTTGGTGGCCTCTCAAAAAAAAAAAAAAAAGCAAAAGCAAAAACAAAAACAAAAACAAAAACCTTACCTTGCTGTCTCAGTGATTTTGCTGCGAGTCAGCAGGAGTTATACCCCAGCTAGTGTGGGGAATGCGGTGACCTAGGTTCTTTGTCCTAGGGACTGTCCCCAGAGTCGCACCCCCACTGGGCACTGCCAGCCGTGGGCACCTAATTTAACTCTTGCAGCAAGGAAGCAGTTTTTTATTTCAGTTTGGACATGTGTCTCTAAGTGAGTTATTTCATGTGCAAGGCCCTGTGAGCTTATCTCCTCTTGGTGGGTTGCCTCCAACTAGGGGGACTGCTGTGGATCTCTGAGCCATGGCCTGCTGTCTGAGAGTTGACTAGGGAGCTCTTCCGTTCAGTGGTGAAGCCCCGGGTTTAGGGGAGGAACCTGTGCTCACAGAGGCACTCAGGACCCCATTTGGTTTCTCTGTTGCTGCAGGTTTTGGTATCTTTGGACAACACCAGCCATGTTCTAATTGGAAAATGGAAAGTGAATTTGATTCCCCAGTGCAGCCCAAACTTGGGCAGTCTTTGTTTTGCAGCACTGCTTATCATAATATTCATTAGACTGGAGAAAAATCCCCAATTAATGGAGCCCTAAATTATATATTTGGAAATTGGGCCTTTAAGATTTTGTTTGCATCTCGTTTGTGTATTTGTTTGTCCATGTATGCACATTGTGAACGTGAGATTTTCCTTTTTCTCTACCTCTGGATGATGTTGCCAAAATTAATTTGTAGAAGAGCTCAATTTAGTTGGTGTAAAGGCAAGTGGTTGTAAGAATTGGGCTTTCTAGGGGTGCTTGGGTGGCTCATTTGGTTTAGCATCTGCTTTCAGCTCAGGTCATGATCTCAGGGTCCAGAAATGGAGCCCTGTATCAGTCTCCCTGCTCAGCGGGGAGTCTGCTTCTTCCTCTCCCTCTGTGCTCTCTCTCTCTCTCAATTAAATAAAATCTTAAAAAAAAAAAAAAAGAATTGGACATTCTGATACCAAGAAAAATACTTTCAAGTTCATGTGATCTGGGAAAACATTCAATATTAAAGATAATTTAAGGTTGTTGGCTTAATTACAATGGACATATTTTTAAAAGTTTCTAATAGTAGATGTAGAACTTTTGTTCTGCCTGTATTTACTGAAAGATAGGTTTGTGTTACAAAGTATTATGGGTAATATAAACAATTACTGAAAAGAAACATAGGTTTGTTTTTGGCTTCTTTTAGGAGAAACAACCCTGTATGCAAGGAAAGTGTGACTGATTATTTAAAGAAGGAAAACTTAGGACAAAACCTGAATATAAGAAGAAAAGTTGTAGAAGGTCTGTGAGAAGGGAATCTTTGGAAAGAAATTTTGTGCATGGTTGGGACCAAGATTATGGAGATTAGTCAAGAAGTTTATTCCGGGGTGATCGACAGCTGGGGAGAAGACAGGTGGTTAAGAGAACAGAATCAGGCAAAGGTCAAGCAGTGACACAACAGCAGCAGAAGCCTCGGCCCATTCTCTGAGGAGTTCCAAAAGCTGGATTACCATCCAGAATTGGATTTTATATACTCCTGTTGAACAGTCATTGGTTGAGACCACCTGGGAAGAGGGCATGACCTCAGCAAGGCAGCTGTCTTCAGTCAGGGCCTTCTCTAGTGACCGCCGAGAGCTGAGGACTGTTGGCTGCATTCCCACAACTGAAAGTCCTTCGTTCCTGCTGGGGGTTCTGGCCAGCACATCCCAGCACCCACCACAAAGGCTCAGATCCATGCAGCACCCCGGCTGGCTCTGTCTCAGTGTATGTCAACACGGGCCATGACAGGGAAGGACAGCAGAGGGACTGCATACCTTTTTTTTTTTTTTAATTCATCTTGTTAAAATGAATGAGTTTTACTCTCAGAAGTACATCAGTACAAGATTAGAATTTGGTTTTCCTATAAAATGACCATTTTCTTAGTTATTCTACTCTTAATAAGAAATTATAAACAAAGGCTTTTTTCTTTATCTTTAATCTTCCTAGAAGAAAAGTTTCCATGTTTTGTCTTCATTAGGTCTTTGATTACTTCACAGTTGAGTCTTAATTTTAAGAGTAAGTTTTGCTCTATAGAGAGCTCTCTTTGCCTTTAGAATCTTATTGCCGCCTTGGTTAAGTAGATAATTAAGTATTAAGTTTTGTAATGATCTGTAATCGTATTTAGGCATGTGCTGTAAAACCTTATGATATTTTTGACCAAATTCCCAAGATTCCGCTTCTAAATGAAATCTTCTTTATTAACGAGGCTTGTTTGTTTGGTATCTTACGTGGAAAGCATTGTCAAACAAGTGGTGACAAACCTTAGATTATGTTATATGGGCGAATGCGATAACTGTTCCAGAAATTATATAAAATTCCCAAGGTTTTGATATGTCCTGGCATAATATCATCACTTATTCTTTTTTTTTTAAGATTTATTTATTTATTTGACAGAGATCACAAGTAGGCAGAGAGGCAGGTGGGGGCGGGGGGAAGCAGGCTCCCTGCTGAGTGGAGAGCCTGATGCGGGACTTGATCCCAGAACCCTGGGTCCATGACCCAAGCCGAAGGCAGAGACTTTAATCCACTGAGCCACCCATTATCACTTATTCTAATTATTGAAGTGTTGTGTGTCACAGGAAAACCATGGCCATTTTTAGTCCTTTGTCATTTACAGTCCTTGTTTTACTCTGATGCTGTTACAGATATGTTTCAGCTTCAAGGAGATTTGTGGAAAGGACTTTTGACAAGTACAGGTCTCTGATACCTTTAAGATTGTAAAACCAAACTGAGTAAGAATTTTAGGAACTAACAGGAAAACTGCATTCAAGCAGAACAAGAATTAGTAACGTGGGACTGAATAAACTGAGGAAGATGATTACTCTTGTTTGAAATGTTGCTGGTTCTCTAATGTTTGCTTTTTCAGATTTAAGGAAACTGTTTTTCTCCTAAGCTGTTATGACTTGCAGAAATTTGGTAAAATATTCCTTTGTAGACAAATATGAAACATTTATCTTTTTCTCCCCACCTAATCCCTCCAGATTCAGAAACTCTCAGTGAGCATTTTTATATATTCATGGCACTGTATTTATTTGCATAAGTTCAGTAAGAACCTGTTCTTATGATAGGATACGATTGGAATCATTGGTTTTATCATCAAGGCTTTGACTGGAATATTCACTTTGAGGGTGACATGCATAGACTCTGATATGACCAGGCAACTTTAAGGAACTAAGACTGATTTTATGGAGCCAATGAAGCCCCTAGGAAAAATCAGCCTACAACCTTGCTTATAGGGTTCCCAGCAGCCTTACCAGGTGAATTAAGATCACTTCCTGCAGGTGCAGAAACCTCGGGTTATTTGGGGGACCTCAAGAAGAGAGGAATTTACCCAAACCTATAGGTGTTGCAGGCAGAGTCTGATGGCAGACACTTGGCTTGGCTTCTTAGCCTTCAGAGACTATTAAAAGTTCAGTCTGAAATTCCTTATGAGAAGTTCTGGCAAAGCAGATTTTCTGTTTAAAAATAAAGCAAACCCTGTATGGCCAATCACTGTTTATTCTTGCAGCACTTATGTAAATAAGTAGGCCAAGGTTGTTGTTAAAACTGGAGTCTTAATTTGGCTATCTTGGGTGGAAATGAGGGTGATTTTAGAAAGAGAAACCACACATTTGTGGAAGTTCAAGCAACTGTCTTTGGGTGTTTGTTGTTTGCCTCTAAAACTGGGCTGGATCCTGAATTCTGATTTCCTCCAGTATCTGGTTATGATTCTCCAAACTAAGCTTTCCAATTTTCTCCCATTCCCTAAAGCTGCCCTTTCTTCTGAAACCCTGCACACTGAAGCTGGACAACTTGAGGTGGACTCCAGATGTTTCAGGATTATTAGAGCTGTTTTGGAACCCAAGGAGGCAGATATTGTCCACTGCCAAGGACACCAAAAATGGGGCTGCTTGATTGCCTGTGGAATGATCGGGCAGAGCAAGGTGCCAGGCTGGCGGCCCACACAAAGACTCCAAAACCTTTTACAGTGGCTTTAGTGGTGGACACAGACTTAGTCAAACAGCAGCCCTAGATCTCCTCTGAAGGTCCGAGGAGAGCTGCCCGAGAACCGTCCCGTAGCTGCCTGCCAAAGCCTGCACAGAGAGCTTCTCTGAGATCAGAAGCCTCCAGGGTTGTGCGGGGAGCTTGACAGACAAGGTGTGCCAGCTGCAGCAGGGAGACGTTTCGACCTCTTGACTAATGCAGGTTCTGTGCTCAGCGGTCTCTGATTGCAGTGAAGGCACAGAGTTTGAGAAAAAATTATTCTGAATGATGGGAGAGAAAGGGAACTTGGCCTAAGCCCAGGATGAGCAGTGAAGACCATGCCTGGCTCTGCCCCTCCCCTCCCCCACCGCCCTTCACTTGGGCCTCACTAGGCATCCTGGCTCATGGTGCCTGTGTTTTCCTCACAGGCAATTTTTACCCAGAAAAACAAGCTGCTGCCTGACCCTCTGGACACCCGACGCTGGCAGGGCTTCCGGCTGGAGGAGTATCTGATAGGGCAGTCCATTGGCAAGGGGTGCAGTGCTGCTGTGTATGAAGCCGCCATGCCTGTGTTGCCCCAGAGCCTGGAGGTGGTGAAGAGTGTCAGGCGTCTTCCAGGCAGAGACCCAGATGTCGTCCCACGAGAAGAGGAGCCAGCCTCACCCCCCGCCTTTCCCTTGGCCATCAAGATGATGTGGAATATCTCGGTAAGGAGGGGGCCTTTCATCTCTGACTTGGGCATTTCTCAAAACACCAGGGGTACCTGGGTGGCTCAGTCCGTTAAGCATCTGCCTTCTGCTCAAGTCATGAACCCTGGCTTCTGGGATCGAGCCTCACATTGGGCTCGCTGCTCAGTGGGGGAGTGTGCTTCTCCCTTTGCTCCTCCCCCTGCTTGTGATCTCTGTCTCTCTCCTCTCTCTAAAATAAATTAATTAAATCTTAAAAAAAAAAAAAATAAGCAAGCCCCAATCTTGGTGGACCTGCCAGTGCTTTTTCCCAGGAGGCAGGCAGGCGGGCTCACCACAGCTCGGGCATCTATACGGTCAGGCTTCCTTGCCCACTCATGCAAGAGTTGGAAGCACTCTCAGATTGTCATGTCTGCCAGTCACCTGAGGATCTGGTTAAAAGGCAGATTCTGGTCACTGGGCCTGGGGTGGAGCCGGATTCTGCATTTCTAACCAGCTCCCAGGTGATGCCCATGCCTCTGGTCTGGTCCACACACAGCAGCAGCCCCTTGTTCCTCATGATCCCGTTTGCTGAATTTGGGTCTGCAGCTCCCACCATCCTCCCTCTCACCACCTGCCTCACTGGAGAGGAGAGGCCACACTCCTGTCCTCCAGACTCCCCCTTCAACCTCCCCTCCAGATCAAAGGCTTGCTTGTCACCTCTCTGCTCTCAACTCTGGGACGACTCAAGGCTTAGGGAAACTGAGTGTTTTCCCTCCACAAAAGCAAAGATTTCATCTAGAGCAATTTATTTCTCTTCTTGCTATATATATGGGTTTAGAAAATTAATCAAGACCCGATGGTCTTTTTCCTGCCCAGAGCATCCCCCCAAGGCTAAGCTGGGGCACAGCTGTGGCAGCTCATGCTGGACACTGAAGAATTCAGTTTCTGGTTTTGATCTGGGGGATAAAGGGGGATAAAGACTCTTGCCTTTCCAAGCTAGGTGATTAGCTAACAAGTAGCCAAGGCCTTTGCCTGTGCAGCAGCCAGGGTTAGCATCAAAGCTTCCAGATGCGCGTGCTGACTACTGCACTCACAAAAGCTAAATGACTTGACTCCTAGAGGGGTCCTGACTGGTTCCACAGGGTCAGAGAGCCCTTTGAAATGAAACAAGGAAAATGGGTGCTTTTGCTCATCTTTGGTTCTTGCTGTTACTTCCTTTTACTGAGGGGCTGGGAAAGCCTCAGCACAGCCTTATCCCAGGCAGGTTTGTCTGGCTCTGCCTGTCTGCTGAAGGCAGCCTGCAGGGGCGAGTCTTAGTGACGCAGTGGCCAGTTGGAGCCTGGGGGTGACCAGAGGCATTAATGGCAGGAAGAAAGGTCCCTCCCCCTATCTTGCCATCTCTTCCTACCCTGGGCACCTGAGCTGCCAAGAGTTTGAGGTGTGATGTTGAAACCCCCCAGGAGTTGGCACAGATGGCATCTCTGCCCTCTCTCTCCCTGGAGGGACTAGCTTGACTTGCTATTTCAGTGATTTTTTTTTTTAAAGATTTGATTTTTTTTTTTAAGATTTTATTTATTAGAGCATGAGCAGGGGGAGAGGCAGAGGGAGAGGGACAAGCAGACTCCCTGCTGAGCAGCCTCCCGCACCCCACAGGGCTCAATCCCACAACCCTGAGAACATAACCTGAGCCACCCGGGTACCCCCAGGGAGTTTATCCTAACTTGAATATCAAAACCAATTCTGGGAGCACCTGGCTGGCTCAGTCAGTAGAGCACACAACTCTTGATCTTGGGGTTGTGAGTTCAAGCCCCACATGGGTGTAGAGATTACTTAAAAATAAAATCTTTTTTAAACACCTCAAATAATTCCAGGCAGTAGCTGTCTAGTCCAGATTGCATGGAGGACGTGGACGTGCTCAGGTCTGTGTAACTCCGAATTCATAACTGTGTTCCAGGCAGGCTCCTCCAGTGAAGCCATCTTTAGTACCATGAGCCAGGAGCTAGTCCCAGCTAGTCGAGTGGCCTTGGCCGGGGAGTATGGAGCGGTCACTTACAGGTAAGCACTCAAATGCCGACCAGACTGGATGTGAGTTCTTAGCAAAATCCTCAGCTGTGTACTCAGAGCGGTGTCCGGCGGACGTGTAATAGACGGTAAGTGGTGTAGTTAATGGTGGCTTTGTAGCGGTCGGATGACTCAGCCTGGGGAAGAGTGCAGATCCTCCCGCTCCAACTGTAGATGCAGATGGCTGGTTCACCCTGGAGCAGAGAGAGCAGGCCGTCCCAGCATGTCCAATTCAGAACGTTGGAAAATCGACCTGACTTCTGATTGTTAAGTAATGCCCCAGGGGAGCGCCACTCATCCCTACCAGCTGCTCTGTCCCCGGCGCAGATAACACTCATTCCAGTCTTGGCAGTCCCAGGAGCTTTAAACAAATGTGGCCTCTTCCCCAAGAGTTGTGTGTGAGGCAGAGGAACCAGACGAGTCAGGAGCAGAGGTCAGGGTAGGAAGTGCTAGAATTATGGACGCTCAGGTGCTGAGGGGAGCCCATTCAGAAAGGCCTCTCGAAGGGACCATCCGTGCTGCCTTTTGAAGATGAATAAGAGAACTAGCCAGGCCCTCTCTCTGGCAGAGAAGTAGCCAGAGTAGCCAGAGGCCTTCTCCACAGAGGGAAGAGGGGTGGGTGGCAGCCCGCGCTCCCAGCTCTGTGGCACGCGGTGTGCTCGCTTTCCTGCTTGCAGACCCTGAGAAGAGTTGCGTCTTGGCTGCTTGGGATATAGACGCAATGCTGTCAGAAGCGGGGGGCACAGACACAGGGACTTGAGAGAGCACGTGGAAAGCCCCTTCCATGGTCTGGAAGGCTCCCATGTGCCCGAGGGGCCATGTGGGCAAGCAGAAGCGGCTGCTTGATGGGCTTGATGTCCTCTCCTCTCCTAGTCCTTTGTAGGGAAGGACTGCTGCTTTTCCTCAGGTGGTTTTCCTCAGGCGGTTCTGTTGCTCACTCGGGCCTGCTGTGGGCCTGCTGATGTCTGTGGCCGAGGCTGCACAGTCCTCCCGCCTGAAGTGCCCCCTGTCGGCCTCCGGGCCCTTACCCTGCTTTCTGTTTTTTCATAGCATTTCTCACCATCTGACCTTAAATCTTAACTCTGTCTCTCCCGTTGTACTGTGAGCCCTCTGAGGGCAGGACTTTTCTGTCCCTACAGCTCAGTAAATGTCCATCAAATGATTCCATGAATTTGACAGAAGTTCTGTTACCTAAGGTACCAATGACGTCAGTGACTCAGACCCTGAGATCTCTCTGGGCGTGTTTCTGTCCACCCTCTCTGCCCATCTAGGGATGTCAGTCTCAGTCCTTGTAATCTGCTCCTCCTGCCTCCCACCTGATCTCTGATCTTGTCCCGTTTACACCCTGTGCTCCACCATGCTGAATCCATACTGCCCTCCACAAACGCGCCAACTCCTCCATGCCTGTCTTCTGTACTGTTAGCTCTCCTCGGACTGCCCTCCCCACAGCCTCCTGTCCCCACTCCATGCGTCCATTCAAACACACCCACGTGCACACATACCTCACGCAGCCACTCTGCCCTTGGGCTCCCACGACAACTGGGCTGAGCTCTGCCACTGTGACATGGACAGCCTTGAGCTGTGATCCCAATTCTCCCACTAGCCCCAGTGGCCCTAGGCTAGGAACAACGCTTTAACTCCCTTGATTACTTACAGAGCTGCTCTCAGATGGACTCATTAGAAAACAGTAGGCTGCACGTGGACGGACTCCACAGCTCAGGGACTGAGGCCGATCTTAAGACGGGGGCGGGCATCTTGCTCCCTTAGTGTTGGCTTCATGTCTCTGGGCTTCAGCTCCATTCTCTGCTTTCTGCCACCCCAGTGTCCTTATTTCCTTTTTTAAAATTATTTTACGATTCTATTTATCTATTTTTATCTATTTATCTATTATTTTAAGATTTTATCTATTTTCTCTATCTCTATTGACAGAAAGCACAAGTAGCCAGAGAGGCAGAGAGAGAGGGGGAAGTGGGCTCCCTGCTGAGCAGAGAGCCCAATGTGGGCCTCAGTCCCAGGACCTTGGGATCATGATCTGAGCCTAAGGCACAGGCCCAATCCACTGAGCCACCCAGGTGCCCCCCAGTGTCCTTATTTCTTAACCCACGTTCTTCTGTGTCTGTGTGCCTTTGGTTTCTACATCTCTCTGGCTTCCCGTGGCCCCGGTCAAGCCTCATGGCATCCTTCACCTTCAGCTCCACTGCTGACTGCTTAGTTACTACCATGTTTTTTCACTAGTGCTCCTCAAGAAGAGAAATGAACTGGCCCTCATCCCTTTCCCCACCAACCATTTTTGTCTCGGACGTGACTGCAGGCTCCTTGCCCTGAAGCTAGGAGCCCACCCAGCGAGAGTACTGGCTGAGGGGTGGGGCCCAGACCTAGCAGGCTGACTCACACCATCCAGAACACAGCCACTGTGCCCCTCAGCAGGGCTGTGGGCAGGGGGCTCCCCGAGGGGGACAGGTGGGCAGGCAGGTGACTTCTGTACTATAAACTGCATCTGTCTGTTCATTCATTCAGCAAAGGTTTTGTGGGGTATTTTAAAAGATTTATTTGAGAGAGAGAGAGAATGCATGAAAGAGCAGGGGGAGGGGTAGAGGCAGAGGGAGAGGAAGAAGCAGACACCCCGCTGAACAGGGAGCCCGATGCGGGGCTCCATCCCAGAATCCCAGGATCATGACCTGAGCCGAGGGCAGATGCTTAACTGACTGAGCCGCCCAGTTGCCCCTCAACAAAGGTTTGAGCTCATACTACACTTTAAGGGTTATGTCAGAATCTGCCATCAGAGATTCTAGGTCCTTTATATAAGCGTTAACCTTACAACTTAACGTTACTACCTAATTCCCTTTGGCAATTGATACTGAGCCCAGAGAAGGAACCTGGCCAAAGGCTTACAGTAGCGGACCTAGAATTCAAACCATATAGGCATGATTCCAGTCTCTTAACCACCGTATTCCGCTGCATGGGATTGACGGATGGACAGATGGGTGGACCAGGGGAGTCATCAGATGTGACAAGTCATATTTATGGGTTTGTTTTTTCACTTTGACACCAGATTCTGTACCCGACACACAGCAGATCTACAGTACATATTTGATAAATTAAAAAATGGGTGAATGTCAGTATTTATCATGGCATGATTATCTTTCCAACCGGTTTATCTGATACTGGATTCCTATATTTGTCCCATTTGGCCAAAATAGAAGATCCAAGGGAGGTCCCAAGCAACTGGCCCCTCACCCCAACATCATCCGGGTCTTCCGTGCCTTCACCTCTTCTGTACCACTGCTGCCAGGCGCCCTGGTCGATTACCCCGATGTGCTACCCCCACGCCTTCACCCCGAAGGCCTGGGCCACGGGCGGACGCTCTTCCTTGTTATGAAGAAGTAAGTAGGAGCTGGTCGTGCCTCTGTGCACCTGCAGCCCCCGAGTGGCAAGGAGGGGGGCCCTCACCCATGCCGAGGGCATAGTATCTCAGAAGGCGGGGTTCCTTTGGGGTGACTTCTCATGAAAATGGAGTCTCCTCTTCATTCAGAACCTAGTTCTCACCAGTGTTTTTAGTCCATTCGACTCTTGCCCCTCTCTATGGCTTCCCTTACCAGTTGTGTAAAAACAGTTCTCCTCCCTAACCCCCTGCCCCTCCTGGCATGGCTGTCACTGGCGTGAGGAAGGAGTATCTGTACCATTACTTCCGTCATGTGGGGCCCCAGCTCTCCCTCCCTGACTTCAGGATAATGGGTGGGGGGAAGAAGATCAAAAAACTCCAAGAAGAGGAAGGGCCATCATCCTAATAGTAAATAAGATGTTGGGGGGACCACTGATGTGCGACAGCCAGAGACCCTATCACCCTCTCCACCAGCTACCCCGGTACGCTGCGCCAGTACCTTCGTGAGCACACTCCAAGCCGCCGCCTCGCCACCATGATGGTCTTGCAGCTGTTGGAGGCCGTGGATCATCTGGTTCAACAGGGCGTTGCGCACCGAGACTTAAAATCTGACAACATCCTCGTGGAGTTGGACGCAGGTGGGTCCTGGCCGCACCCTCCCAGATATCCAGGGGCACCAGACTTCAGCTCTGCAGACACTTAGGACCCTTCAGTCCTTTCGGGTTTTATGTCCTACTAGAAGTTGTGTCTTAATTTTTCTCTGTACTCAAGAGATGAGCAATCTTTCCTTCAAAATGGAGGCTTTCTTCTCTTTGTGGGGCTTTTGGAATGATGGTTAATAGTCCCCCAGTTCCTTCTGTTGCCCACTTACAGAACAAAAACCTCAGTGGCGGAAGTTTTCTCAAAAGAGAGGTAGATTTAGCTCAGCAGAAAAAAGAATTTTCAGACAGTGGGAGCTGTCCAAATGTAAGCCCAGCTGCCCCTGGAAACAGTGAGCTCCCAGTTCCTCACACAGGAAGCACTGAAGTGGAGGCTGGCGGCCACTTAACCTGTGAACGACAGCCAGAGGGCGGGTAAATTTTGAGCCAGAAGACTTAAAGTAATGGGCCATTAAATTGCTAGAAGAACTAGCTTCTTGAAGGAAGTCTGTGTGATTCCTTTTACCAGTAACTAAACCCCATCATACCCGTTTCTTAGGTTTCGACTTGGGGTTTCAAGTTCAGATCAAAGATCTTTGGGGCATCAGAGCTAAGCGCCATCTGCTGAGTAAACCAGGAGCAGCTCCTTCAGTCTTGGGACAGCTCCGATTACTTGATCAGTTACGTTGAGCCCAACTTTCATCTAGTTCTTTGCTTGAGAGCTTTGGTTTCCCTGGAGACATCTTTGGGCTCCTGTAGCTGGCCTCCCGTTGAGTGCCCTGGTGAGTGGCCACCCACCCAGGCCTCGCTGGCCCGCACTCCTGGGCTGATACCATGTCCCTGTTAGCCCCTCACCCATGTCTTGGTGTCTGTGGTAGGGCACCTACGAAGGCCCCTCAGGAGAGAACCAGTCACTCACCTCTGCCTGTCCCCTCCCCAGATGGCTGCCCCTGGCTGGTGGTCACAGACTTCGGTTGCTGCCTGGCTGACGAGCGCACCGGCCTGCAGCTACCTTTCACCAGCTGGTATGTGGATCGGGGTGGAAACGGCTGCCTGATGGCTCCAGAGGTGAGTCTTGTGGAGCATGTCCTTTGCCATCAGCAGACGTCTCCATCTTGTTTCCACTGACTGGGAGGACGAGACTCGCTGCCTCATTACCTACCCGACACCTCTTTTCTGACCCTGAATTTGGCACAAGTCCCTTTCCCCTGTGTGTTAGTCTGGCCCTCCCTAATGTTTGCAGGAGATGTGTGTTTTGTCAGCATAAAGTAGTTAACCTAAGAAGATTCTTCTGGGTCTGAGCCACAACTTACTCAAATTCTGGGTTCCTTGGGACAGAGTTCAGATTAGCCCATGAGTCAGGTGCTATGTAGGTACGTGAGTGTGTTAGTGTGTTAGAAATGCCAGCAGCGGGGTGCCTGGGTGGCTCAGTGGGTTAAAGCCTCTGCCTTTGGCTCCAGTCATGATCTCAGGGTCCTGGGATCGAGCCCTGCATCAGGCTCTATTCAGCGGGGAGCCTGCTTCCCTCTCACTCTCTGCCTGCCTCTCTGTCTACTTGTGATCTCTGTCGATCAAATAAATAAACTCTTAAAAAAAAAAAATACCAGCAGCGTGAAACTCACCTGTTGCTTTCTAAACAGGTGTCCACCGCCTGCCCTGGGCCCAAGGCCGTGATCGACTACAGCAAGGCTGATGCCTGGGCCGTTGGAGCACTCGCCTACGAAATCTTCGGGCTCCCCAATCCCTTTTATGGCCAGGGCGGGGCCCACCTTGAAAGCCGCAGTTACCAGGAGGCTCAGCTGCCCGAGCTGCCCGAGTCAGTGCCTCTGGATGCAAGACAGCTGGTGAGGTCCCTGCTCCAGCGAGAGGCCAGCAAGGTGAGGCTGTCCCCAGGGTTTGCAGGGAGTGTGGACATTTATGTTCCAGAGTAAAGATCAGGTTTGGGCAAGACTGGAGTGACAGCTCCTCTTAGAAAAATAAAGGCCAAGTACAGGAGAACAAACTTTAGTATTAACACGAGTAGGGGAGCCGGCCACCAAATGAGAATTCCAGCATCGAAGCTCTTCTTGGCTGTAGTGGCTTAAGTTACTTAGAAGATAATATTTTTAAGAAATATTTAATGGAGTTGTAGTATACAACAGTTGACACCTAATGAGACAGATGTAAAGACCTCTCCCAAGAGCAGATCTGGACATTTCCAAAATCAATTAGGGAACTTAAAGGCTAGAATATTTGAAGCCATGATTGGGCACCGTAGGCCCAGTTCAGCTGGAGTGCCTTGTGGAAGGGCACCAAGGCAGACAGGGTTCAAGCCACTTCCTCCCACTGGGTGGCATGCTGTCAGGGCCACAGCCTGTGCTCACTGCCAGTTACCGAGCAAGGAGAGGACCCCTCACTCCACAGAGTGCTAGACCCAGGCGGTTTGTGGGCCTTCCTTGTTGGGGCAGACTGCATAGGGCACGGGTATGCCCCTGGAAAAGCCTGGAACAGGGGTAGAGAGCAGCCAGCAGGTTTCCGGTGAGTGAATGGTATTCTAGGAAGGAGAGACAAAGGGGTGAACAAGAATTTGGTTTTGGGGCCAGAGAAGGGAAGGTCCTAAGTTAAGAATTCGCTGACATACCAGGTTGTGGGTGGAATGCTTTGCCAACGATGTTCTAAGCTTCCGCTTCCCTGCCCGTTGCAGAGACCATCTGCCCGAGTAGCTGCTAACGTACTTCATTTAAGCCTCTGGGGTGAACATACTCTAGTGCTGAGGAATCTGAAACTAGACAAGATGGTCGGCTGGCTCCTCCAGCAGTCGGCCGCCACCCTGCTGGCCGACCGGCGCACAAAGAGCTGCGTGGAGACCAAGATGAAGATGTTATTTTTGGCCAACCTGGAGTACGAGGCGCTGTGCCAGGCAGCCCTGCTCCTCTGCTCCTGGAGAGCGGCCCCGTGAGGGCTCCGTTGTAGCTGGCGTATTACTAAAGAACTTAGCAACATCTGTGTGGTACTAGTCTGTGAGAGCTGCGGGGCGGGGTGGGCTCCCACGCTCGAGGGTGGGCGGCACGTGGAGGATGGCGCGGAGAGGCTGGTCGGCACTAGAGAAGGCCTCTGGTTTGGCAAATGGAAGGAAGAGCCAGCGGCAAAGTTCACGGTCTGCAACCACTAACTCACCCTAGCTGTGCGATTTCAGGTGCATCGTGTAACCTGCGTGAGGTTCTCTCACCTGTGCTGGGAGAAACTGGACTAGAGCAGAGCTGGAGAAGCTGGCAGACGTTCTGCGGAGCGCCCGTGTCACGGCTACTCCGCTGTTGTTAGAGCACAAAAGCAGTCTGAAATACGTAAATATACCGAGATATGAATTCATGTGTCACTAAATACTCTTTCTTAAATTTGCTTCAATTATTTAAAAACGTGAAAACCACTTTCGGCTTACAGGCCAAACGGGCCAAGCCATCATTTGTCAACCCGTAGTCTAGATGAATCCAAGGGGCCAAACTCTAAAAAGAAATGATAATCACTAGGTCCTCTGTACATTAGTACTAACAATGTGGTAAGATCAGAGTACAAATCCATAGGACTGAGTTCTCTGTAGCAGGTGAGGAGAGGGGCGGGTGTTAACTGTGGGCCAGAAGCCCTGCCTCCCTCACAGACCTCTGTGAAGTCCATGGCCGAGCAGATCTCTTGGTGGGGGGAGGTTCAAGGCAAAGCAGGGGTTATTAGGACAGCATGGACTCCAGGAAAGGACCCTGGCTGGTTTGAAAGTGGCAGCCAGGACCTCAGTCTGCATGTCTTCTGAATTTGCCAGGTCAGTATACGCAGGCATCAAAATGAGAAGACGCTCCAGCGTCTTCTAGCAAGGCCTGGAAAGCTCAGGGTGTCTCTGAGGAAGCACTTCTGCTGCTATGGACTCAAGTCTAACAGAGCTAGAAGCGATGATGAAATGGAAATTGACAGTGTGTTGTTTTACTTGCTGATCTGCCTTTTGACTAGCATTTCTTACAGGAATTGTGAAGAATTAAATGCACATTTACAACCGAAGAACACATATTTGCTTTGAATTGAATTATGTGGCTTTAAGAGTGACTCTTACACCCTAATAAAAGACAAGAAAATTCTGTGAGTAGAGATCAACAATGGGGAAGGGATTCCACATACAATTTTACACGTGCTTTTTAGAGATCCAGCTACCGCCTAAAGCAAGGTGAACATACACGTCAACTCGATAATCCTATTAGAAAGTCAAACACCTTCGTGTATTTAATTAACCATGTCCTCTCCCTTGAAGTTCTAGGATTTCATGCTTAAGGGAAATGCAGTCCTTGGTCAGCAACACAACTGAACAGCATCCCCACCACAGCAAAGCACACGGGCCAGAGTTGGAGGGCAATGTTTATCTTAGAAATGAGAGTGACCACATATGAAAAATACCACTTAGCGCACATAAAAATCAGTCCCCACCCCCCACCTCTTGGTACTCGATGCTGCATTTCCCCCTGAGGTAAGGCTGTGCCACTGTCACAGGGCTTTAAAAAAAAAAAACAAAACCCACCATACAGGAAGACCCAATCCTACGTAACTCCCATCCGCGTGTCTTAGGGAGTCCCAGGGCTCCGCCCCTCAGTCAGACTTCTCCTTCTCCTTCATGTGCAAGAAGACCGTGCTGAAGATGAACAGGCCCAGCATCATGGAGAAGGCGCTGGCGTAGTAGGGATAGGCCGAGGGGATGAAGCGCTCGTACTGCGTGTGCTGGAGTGGCCTCACGGACACCTACGACAGGGCAGAGGTGACAGGTCCGGGCCGCCCGCGGCACAGGCGGGGCGACTGTAGCCAAAAAGGGGACCGTGACTGACGCTCACCTGAGTGGAAGAGTGCAAGTGCGTGTAGCCTAGCCGGTTGTAATCCACTTTAAACTGGAACACTCCATACACGTCTGGCAACTTGAACTGGACGCTGTATTTGCCACCTGGGGAAGATCCGAGACCGTAACCAGGAGCGGCTTCCTGCCTCACGAGAGCAAGTCACCGTGGGGCTGTCGGCCCGCAGCTTTCCCAGGCACCACTCCTACTTACCTTTCTTCTTCAAGAATGTCCTCACGAAAGGATCGATGCGGACAAACTCCAGCTGAATGTCATCACCATCAAAGGGGACCCATCTGCCATCTGAGAGCTGCTCGATCACGATGCTGTACTCCTGAGACCACAGGCTGGTTAGCCGGGGGGCCGCCACCCTCAGAGCTGCTCTGAACCGCTCGTCTGCCTGACCGGACTCCGGAGGAGCCCCACCCCCCACCTGGGACAGGAACTCCGAGCCACAGCATGGCACAGGCCCATCCAAGTCTGCACCCAGACCACTCGCTCACAAGTGGGCCAGGCACTCTTGGGCCTTCCTGCTGCCACCTTCCCTACCCCTTTACAACCTCCAGACCCGACTCTAGCGAATCCCGCTCCCAGCAGCGAGCACCCGGGGAAGCCATCCCGCTCCTGCCCTTCCAAGGCGAACCCACGCCCCTTCAAACCCACACCCCTTCAGACATCAGCTTATGTGCCAGGCGCTGTGCACCTACACGGACATTCTTAGGAGTAGAGATGAATTTCTTCTTCCTTATTTAGGCCACTAAGGCCATCAGAGAAATGTTCAATAAAGACTTTCAAGCCAAAGCAACTTGGCCAAAACCGCAAGGGGACCCTCCTGCTCCAAGGCGCGCTTACCACGAGGTCGGTGACAGTGTAGGCATTGGGTGGGGCTGTCTCACCCACCCGATGGTGGGACACAGGCCCTACGCGGAGGACCCCTTCCTCCTTGAACACCCAGCGGGACAGGGCCACAGCCAACTCATAGTTGCCCGTCTGGGAGTACCTACAGAAGGGGAAATCGAGGCTAGAGCACCAGAACCGGCTTCTTCCCAGCGGTGCCTGATAAGTGAGACAGATCCCTATTCATCAAGATAAACCCTGGAGGCCATGCATATCTACATATCCTGCCTGAAGGGCACGTGGCAAAGCTGTCAGGTGGTGGTGCTCAGGGGGTCACCTGTACAATAAATACACATCGAAACATCACCAGATAAGCCATTACTACTTGAAAAGTTTGTGGAGGGCCAACACCAGTAATGGCAACAAAGTCAAGTCTTCAAATTATTTTAAAGTATCTGAAGATAGCTAGCCTCTGATACCCCTGTCGCTAAATGGCTCCTCCTTCCCCAGCACCCCGGACCACACCCCCCAGAGCCCCCAGCACCGACCTCTGGGAGCCAGGCGCAGCCTTCTGCACTGCTGAGTTGAAGAAGGCGTCACTGAAGAAGTCCAGGGAGCCGCTGAAGATGACCCGCGCGTTGTTCCTGGCCTGGAGCCCGGCAATGAGGAGGGTGTTCTTCCCCACTGCATGGGGGTACTGGGAACAACAGGGGGCTGTCATCCAAGAGGCTTGGGCAAAGGACAAGTGACTAGACCACAAGCACCTGGGCCCTACCTGATGGTGGTACCTGAGGCCCCACTGCCTCTGTCCCCCCAACCCCCCGCGTCCACCAACTTCTCACTGGTTTTGTTTTTTTGGTTTTTTTTGAGAAAGAGAAAGGGGGCGCAGGGACCGGTTCCACATGCAGCCTGGAGCCCAACAAGGGCTCAATCTCACGATCCTGGGATCAAGACCTGAGCTGCACAAGAGCCGGCGCCCTGCTTCTCATTTTCAAATAAAGTGCTCTACCGCCAGGTCCAGGATCTAGAGGCCTCAAGGCGGCAAAGGCCCCTCACCTGGGTGATAGGTTTATCCGGGAAGAAGGAGTAAGAGGTGGAAGAGCCCGTCAGGATGTCCAATACCAAGGGATTATCAGGATCAGCCACCATCCTGGGGAAGGAAAAGATAACACCTGACACTGAGCCCAAGGACCTGGGGTCCCTAAGGGCTGTTTCTTCACAGGGATGAGTCCTGCTTTCTCAACAGCTGAACCCCTGCTACAACAGCAGCCCTCCTCCCACCGCAACAATGAAGTCTGACTCTGCGTTTCCTAAATTAATTTTGCGCACGTCCTCCAGGGAAAGGAATGCCCCCAAATCAAGTTTGGGTTAGTTTCCCAACAAAAGAAAGTGGTCCTGTCCTTTCCAGGGTTCTAGCACCCTATGCCTTCTCACTCACCCGACCCCTCGAAAGAGGATGGGGTTCAGAGATGATCTCCCGACAATGGTTGGGGCCTTCAACAGGTTCTCGGGGTCAGCCACAATGAGCGTATGCTGCAGCGGCAGAGGGAAAGACGAGGGTCAGGAAGAGGGACCCCCACACCAAGGACTCCCTCCCGACCTCCTCTCGGTTTCCTGGCTGAACTCTGCTCTAAGGGCCTGATTACCTGGCCAAGGTCTGAGATGTCGTAGTTGTGATGGTCAATGACAGCTGTTTTCTCCTCGTCAAATTCAATCCCACATTCACTGCCCAGCTCTCGAAGAGGATCACCTGCACAGACCCAAGAAATGCCTGGCTCAGCCCTTAGAGATGCACCCTGGGCCAAGCAGTGTCACTTGCCCTGGCATCCTGGTGACTCACTCTGTCCCAGTTACCCCAGAGCCCTGCAGCTTCCCCTGGCTGAGGTCAGCCCCAGCTAGACCGCAGGACACAGCATGGCACTCTGACTGGGGGGGTCAGAACCTGAATGGGTAACACAACCAACCACCTGGCTGCCTCCACCCCCAACACACAGAAACCCCTGCTGGGGCAAAGCAGGTACCTCAGACAGACGTGACCTGGATGAGGCTGGCCTCACAGGACTTCTCTCCTCCTTGTCACCCCCAACGAGAAGCCCATCCAGTATGGTTGTAAACATCTGGCAATGCTGGGGCACCTGGGTGGCTCAGTCGGTTAAGCATCTGCCTTTGACTCAGGTCATGGTCTCGAGCCCCAAGTCAGGCTTCCTGCTCAGCAGGGAGTCTGCTTCTCCCTCTCTGTCCCCCTACTCCTATGCTCTCTCTTTCTCTCGAATAAAATCTTTAAAAAAAAAATAAACAAAAAT